AAAGGAAATCAACACATAGAGGGAAAGGGTGGTCAAGGAAGGGTGTTTTGGTCTGGAAAGTCCCAGGGACGGTAAGTGGAGCCACAGAATAATTGAATAACATGTCCTTTTCAGGAGCAACGGTAGCATTGACTTAATTACTGTACTCAGAGGAAGAGATAGAATAGTGTGGGCAAGGTACAATGCAGTAACAGGCAGTAAAGCATGGCCAGGGGCCAGAGGTGGTCTAGCTATAGTAAGCTTTCACAAAACAGAGCAGGACAGTCCTGGGATAGGCATATGTGGGAAGCTAGAGATCCCATTTGCAGGCAATAACAGTAGGGAGGAGATTGGGGTGAGATGTTACAATGCTAATCCTTGGGGTGATCTGCTTCAAAAGGACCTTATCTGAAACCACCTTTTATTCAAAGGAACCCATTTCAAAGGGGAAACTTAGAATCCAGTCGTGTGGGTGAACTCTGAGGAGCCAGATAGCCTACTGGTTCAACCCAAGCCAGTCCAGGCTGAGGCAAGAAGTCAAAACAACAGCAGCAACAAATATACATACAGCAGATATCAGATCTTTTCATGGTAGCCCCAAACTGGAAACTAAATGTTTTTAGATCTTTCATGGTAGTCCCCAAACTGGAAACTAAATTTTTGTGTGTGTGTGTGTAGACAAACAGGATTGAGTGATTTGCCCAGGGTCACACAGCTAGTAAGTATCTGAGGCTGGACTGAAGCTCAGGTGCTCCTGACTCCAGTGCTCTATTCACTGCACCACCTACCTGCGCCCTTTAAAATTTTTTTTATATACAAACTTTTATTTCCGTTAAAATGTACAAAAATACTGAATTTTCAGTTCATATTGTGAGTTAATTGCTGCATCACTGTAGCAAGATGCTAATTAACTATAAATGTTCATCAAAACCATCAGCTAGGTATTTGTCTACTTCTGCAAGTTTCTCTGTGATGATGGACTTCTGTTTATTAACAAGGTCGTCTGTTCCCACCACCACATCATGCTTTATAAGCTGAGTTGCTACATACCCCTCATCAATTAAATCCTTAATTTATTGGGGAGTGGCTAAACAAATTATGATATATGAATGTAACAGATTCTTGTACTATAAGAAATTATGAAATGGACAGTCTCAAAGGAAACAGGGAAGATCTCTATGAACTGATGCAAAGTAATATAATCAGAACTAAGAGAACAATTTATATGATGACAACATTAGAAAGAAAAACAATTCTGAAAGACTTCAACACTATGATCAGTCCAGAGGATTGAAGATGAAACATTCTAACTACTTTCTACAATAGAGATGATGGACTTAAAATGCAGAATGAGACATAAATTTTTGGACATAGCCAATGCAGAAATTTGTTGTTTTTTCAGGGGGTTTTTTGGTTGTTGTTCAGTCATGTCCAACTCTTTGTGACCCCATTTGGGGTTTTCTTGGAAAAGATACTGGAATGGTTTTTTATTTCCTTCTCTAGCTCATTTTACACATGAAGAAATTGAGGCAAACAGGATTAAGTGACTTACCCAAGGTCACACAGCTAGTAAGTGTCTCAGGCCAGATTTGAACTCAGGAAGACGAGTCTTCTTGATTCTGGGCCTGGCACTCTATCCACTGAGCCACTTGGCTGCTCATGTTTTCTTTAATTATATGTATTTTCACGAAGGTTTTCTTTTTTCTTTTCATTGTTTAATGGGGGTGGGGGAGGAGGGGTGGAAAAGTGAGGAAGAGGAAAAGAAATGCTTGGTAGTAAGTAAAAACAATAAAATTGAATTGGGGGAAAATATAGAAGAAATAAGGTAAATAGAGAGAATGATGACAACAAATGAAACTGAATGCTGTCTATTACAATGACCAAGCTTGGCCCCAAGAAGAGATGAGAAAGTACAGTTTCCACCCTTCTTGGCAGAGCTGGGGGACAATGGGTACAGAACATTGCATATACAGTCAGACTCTGTTGACATTTGGGGAGTTGTCTAAACTTTTTTCTTTTTCCTTCTTTTATTCTATGTTAGTTGAAATGGCTCACTGGGTGGGGAAGGGACAGGGATCCACTCAGAGAAGGTTATATAAAAACAAAAAAAATCAATAAAATGTTAACATTGAAAAAAATACAGTAAGAACCTTGTAGCATTTTTATTATGTCATGATGGGGAGGGAGGAAGATAGTAGCTTATTGAACGACAAGTTTGCAAACCTAAACTTGTGAACCAAATGTCAAAAGGGTATGAGTACCTCCAAGTGGAACCTTAGTCATGGCAATGTAGTCCAAAGCAGTAAAAGCTTAGAGATGGTTTGAACTGATAAAGACTTTAAGGAACATCAGATCTAACTGTCCCTTTGAGGGAAATGACTTGCCCAAGGTCACACAAGGCAGAGCCAGGGCTGGAACAGCATTCTGCCTTGTGCCAGAGAGGTGGCTTAGAACAAGCCCACAATTCCCCCTTTAAAAATTGAAGATATTCATTTATTTAGCTGGCCTTAAATAATGTCATCAAATGATATATTTATTTTTAAGTATTTATTGATATCTTTTGTTTTCATAACACTTTTATTTCCAAATATGTGTGTTTCCACCCAGAGAACCATCTTTTAAAAAAAAGGTTCTTTAGCAAAACTGATCACTACATCAACTGAGTCTGACAACATATGCAGAGTTTTGCTCTCTTAGTCCCCCACTTCAGCAAAGAAGGGACAGGTGGAGGTGTATTTATTTGCTCATCTATTCTTTGGGACCAGTCTTGGTCAAACACTGTCTTTAAAGATGATACACCCTGCACAGATTTTCAAAGAAAAATTTAAACTACAGTTGAAAGTGTACAGCAAATTTGACCTTCCTTAGTAACATTTTATTGTTATGTTATGTTATTTTATTTTATTGGAGAGGCAACTGGGGTTAAGTGACCTGCCTAAGGTCACACAGCTAGTAAGTATCAAGTGTCTGAGGCTGACTTTGAACTCAGGTCCTCCTGACTCCAGAGTGGGTGCTCTAGCCAGCGCCACCTACTTGCCCTGTTTCATTGTTATTCATCACATTTTAATTGAGACCTGGTAGCCAGATGGTCCAAAAGATAGAGCACCAGGCCTTGAGTCAGGAAGACCTGAGTTCAAATCGAGCCTCAGATTCTTACGAGCTGTGTGACTCTGGGCAAGTCATTTAACCTCTGTCTGCCTTAGTTTCCTCAACTGTAAAATGGGGATAATAATAGCACTCACCTTGCAGGATTGTTATAAAGATCAGATAATTTTTATAACATGTCTGGCACATGGTAGGCACTTAATAAATGCTTATTCCCTTCCCCTTCTCTTTTTCCCCAGACTTTGATAAGAATATTCTGTTCCATTTCATCCTGACTGAACCCGATTTCTCTGAAGCTCTAGGACTTCAGGATGATTCACTGTCAAAAGTCCTCTTGAAGAGCCCATGGTTTCCCTCCATCACTTTCACCAGTGGTCTGTTCCCACTGATGAAATTGCTAGAGCTGATGAGAGGAATGGCTTTATTTTGTCTTTTTAGTTGGGGTCAGCTAGAAGATGTAACCTGTGTTCCCTTTGGCTCTCTCTGTAGATTCCCTCTGGAGTATTCAAAGAACAGAGAGAAAACCAGGCATGTGGAATTTACTTCCTGAAGGGGCAGAAGCCCTCATGCCTGTCACCTTTATCTCCACTCAAATGTTTCTTTTCACATGAAGACTGTCTTCTCTGTCTTCATCAATTTTTTTTTCCTTTTTGAAAGACTTCTCTCTCACAAAAAGCCCCTTCAAGGTCTTTGCATCTTGATAGGAATTGCTTTAGCAGATGACGTTGCCCCTAGCAACAGCTGCATTTTTACAGACTGCTTCTGAAACAAATCCTCTCAGAACAATTAAATAGCATAACTTTTTTAGAACTTTAAGTGAGATTCTTAAAGACAAATTTTGACGGAAATGAGACAGGGTTTTCAAGAGTTTTTACGACAAACCTCGTTAAAACATAGCTCTATTACAGATGTGGCTATAATATTCCCCAAAACATTACCACAAACAATAATAATAGCTAGCATTTATATAGTACTTCAGGGTTTTCAGAATACTTTACAAATATTGTCTCATTCAATCCTCATGACCACCCTGGGAAGTAGGTTCTAGTATCACAGATAAAAAAACTGAGGCAAATCAAGGTGAACTGACTTGCCCAGGATCACACAGCTAATAAGTATTTGAAATCAGGTCTTTCTGACTCCACGTCCAGCACTCTTTCCAATGCCCAACCAGCTACCTAAATGTACAATCAGAATAGATAATAATAGAGTTAACAAAGCACCAGTTTTAGCTCTACACTAGTATTCTCAATAGAGTTATTTGTTTACTTTATTGGCCCTATAATTTCATTGGCATAGGGAACTCTCAGTAAAAAAACTCCCTCTAAAATGCAAATAAGCAACTTCCTCTAATTTACAGTCTTAGAGAGCTAAATTAGATGATCGCTGAGAGAATAAGGCAGCTGCCCAGGATCACACAACCAGCATGAGGCTCGGGTGAGACCTGGAGTCAGGTCTTCGTGGCTCTGAGGCAGCAGGCTCTATCACAATATGCTCCCTCGAGTTTTTAACCATGTCTTAGTTTGCTGCGTGATGACAAGAGAGGCAGCAGGCTGTAGTAGAACAGATGCTAAATCTGGATTTAGCGGGCCTGGGTTTGAGCCCCAGTTTTGATACTTACAAGCTATATGTATGATCTTGGTAAGTCATCTAACTTCTCTGAGCCTCGGTTTCTTCATTTGTAAATGGGAATAATGACACTTGAATCATCTATTCTCCCAGAGGGTTACTATGAGGAAAGGACTTTGCAGAGCTGTAGAAATGTGGACTACGATTAATTACTCATATTTCACACAGCCCAGAGTCAGACTTCTTGATAGAAACTAGGAAAAACTTTCAATGACCACAGAGTAAAACTGACATCCCTCCTGCTACCCTCATGTCATTCCCAATATTGTGTGATATAAAAGACTTACTTCGCCATCCTATAAAAAACCATCCCTCGCTGGAAATAAGCCACTGCTAAATGTTTGTCTCGGCTTATGCTCCTGGTAAAGGCCTGTAAGAGAGAAAAAGTGGTTTTGTGCGTATGTATGCAAGAGTGAAAAGGTGCTGATAAGACCCAAAGGGGCCACCTTGGCCTGAGAGCTGAGGATGGCTGGTGTCTGGAAGAGAGATATCTGGAGGCTGGGCTGGCTACCTCTGAGGATGACAAAGGCATGAAGTCAAAGGGGAAAATCAAGAAAGACAAGGGGCTAGGAGGACAATAGGAGAGGTGGAGGAGGAGGAGGAGGAGGAGAAGTGAAGTTCAAGATTTTTAAAAATTAGGAGTAGAGGGAAAATACAAATATATAAATATATACATACATGCACACATATACACGTTTATGCTTGTGAACATACATACAAACATGCATGTATGTGTGTGCACACATACACATATATGCATATACATACGCACATATGTGTATGTATGTATATATGTATATATTTTTATATATATATATATATATCTTCCATTCCAACCTTCTCCATTGTTACTAAGCTTTTGACAAAAAGCACCTCATAGGGGTAAACTCTAAAAATATTTCCAATGAGTATAGATGCCTTTGTACTCTCTACCTAACTTTCTACTTTCTCCTTGTCTACATACTCCTTTTCCAGGAGGACTCACTAACACTCCTGTGCATCCTATTTGTCCTTTGAACCAACTGCTATTTACTAAGAAACCCACTCTTTATCCTTGAAGCAATCGTGCTTGTTTACATTCTAATCTCCAACCGGTATATATAATATCAGAGATATCTATTTGTGGAGTGCCTCGGGGTTCACCTGTTTGATTACCTGACCTGATTATCTATACATCAATCTGTGCATGAATTCAATGCTGGACGTCACTGAGATACTTCCTCACTGAAACCTTTACTGATCCCAACTCTCCATCCCTCACCCCAAGTTGGTGATCATTTTTCCCCTCCCTCTATCCTGGAGCTCATGTAGATTTTGTAAGTGAGTTGCTATAAGACTGAAGAAGATCACCAGCCCTTCTGTGTTCCTAAAGGTAGTGTTGGGTGAGACAGTGGGGTCCCACCTTGTCCTGAAGCCAACAAAGACTTCAAAGTTTCAGAACATAAGTCTCCATGAGACATAAGAGATGTTCATCTCCAGGCTGCAGTGTGGAGAAAATACATGCGCACGTGCCCCCCAAAAGTATATTTTCCCAGATGATGGCACCCTGGGACAAATGCCCAAGGATCTTATCCTAGTGCATTTACTATTTGTAAATACCAGATCTCTCCTGACTATACTCTTTCCTCCACTCCATGATAACATGGGCCTGCTTACATTCAGCTTACTGTAGTAGAGAAATATGGCACATACATAGATAACTACAAGGAAAGACTTTGTGGGTGGTCTAATTTACATATAATGTTAAAACCTTTTACAGTTTGATTTACATCCATCTTCTCCTCAGGTAGCTTATTTTCTAGTTGGGAAGATGGGCTGGCATGACAGATTAAACTTTGTGGGGCTCCAATCCTTATAGGGTGTTTGCTATACAATAGGCACATGGTGATTGCCAAATGAATTAGAGATTGACATGAGATAGTGGAAAAACATAAGCTAAGCAGTCTGGTCCAAATGGCACAAGAGGAATTCAGAAAAGGGGGAATAGTCAAAGAAGGCTTCCTAGAGAGGACAGATCTCAAAGGATGGATTCAGTTTGGAGATGGACAAGAAAAGAGACCCTCCCCCCTCAGGAGACAAGATTGTGCATGAAGATACCACCAAAGTACAAAGCAGGGGTAAAGGTCCTTCACTCACCTTTTCTGCCTCCTGCAGGTTTTCTAGAATCATGTAAATGCAGCCGATGTTGAAGGAGATCCGGGAATGGGGGTCCTGAACTTCACTGAAGGCCTCCAAGGCTCCAAGCCAGTCCTTCTTGTCTGCTGCCAGCACCCCTTCATTCCAAAGACGGATTGCCTCAGCTAAGGACATGGCCAGAGGAGAACTGAGAGGAAGAGACCACAGACTGTTCCCGAAGAGCGACTCTGAGTAGGCAGAGCAGAGGCAGAAGAGAAAGCACTCAGCGGAGAGGAAATCTTTCCTACCAAAGACTGGTCCCTGCTGTGTCTCCTTGGCTCCCGAATTCTCCACGGGGCAGGGCCAAGGGCCCTTTTTTTTCTTTCTTCTTTCAAGTGGGTCTCAAAAGCAGATCTAGTCTTCCCCAAGCTGACTTCTCTGTGTTGTAAACAGGTCAGGAAGTATCCTCACCTTTTAGTAACCCTGGGGAGAGGAAGGGGGGAAGAAGGGAGGGGAGGGGTGGGGAAAGAGAGGAAGTACAACAAATGCTGTCTGCAATGGATCAGTTCCTCTAAATGATTCTGCCCTGTCATGATCAGTCCCTCCCATGAAGTCTTACCTCTTTACTGGTGTTTCTGGGCCACGCTGTCACTTTCTACCTGTGTGGCCTTGGATTAGTCATTTCCCATCTGTAAAAGGAGGCAATTTGATGCAATGCTTCAGTCGAAAGTTCTCCTGAGCTCTTTTAAAAGTCTAGTTCATGAAATATTTATAGCAGCTCTTTTTGGTGATGGCAAAGAATTGGTAACCTGAAAGGGTGCCCATAAACTGGGAAATGGTTAAACAAGTTATGGTATGGGAATATGGTGGCATGTTTTTGTATTGTAAGAACTGAAGAAAAGGATGGTTTCAGAGAAACCTGAGAAGACTCATATGAACCGATATGCAGTGAAGTGGGTAGAACCTGGAAAACAATTTGTACAATGACAACAATAATGTAAAGACAAACTACTTTGAAAGACTTAGTAACCCTACAATTCCAGAAGATTCAAGATGAAACCTGCTGTCAGACACATGATAGAGAGGAGAGAGACCAAGAGCACATACTGAGACTTTGTTTTTTGTCATGGCCAACCCAAGAATTTGTTTTTCTTGATTATACGTGTTTATAACTGGGGTTTTAGTTTTCTTACTTGCTTGGGGTGGGGAGGAGTGGACAGGTGGGAGGCAGAACATGCAGATCTGAAAATAAAATGAAATTTAATTTTAAAAAATAATCAATGATTCTAAGGAACTTCCTCAAGTCTCTAGAATCCCAGCATCTCAGTGTGGGATCCCCATTTCCAGTCACCCTTTGTTCCAAGCAAGAAAATTTTCTTCAGCAGTCTCCATAAAATGATATTAGAGCCTTTTCAGGCTCTGCTCTCTTTTACGAAAACTCAGAATGTTTATGGAAATCCTGGAAGCTAAACATGACTGTGGTCAATCCATCAGGGAAAGCTGGGCCACAAGGGTGAGAAAGGACTAGAGATGGACAAGGGCTTTGGAGACTGCATTGGATTCCTGCTCATATTCAAACTACCTTCAACCAACACATTTAAATGGAAAGATGCAGAATGTTTGCTACTAGTGTTTCAGAAACTACGTTTCCTAACACTGCATTAGCAGAACCATAGGATACTTGTGGAGGGTGGGGGAAGGAGAGGAGGTGAGAAAGACTGGATTTAGATAGACAGCACAACAGTAGGGGTGGGTGTTCTTGGGTTTCTCTCTCTTTGTGTCTATTAATAAATTTCTCTTGTTCTGTGAATGTTTCCCACTCTTAGTTTCATAGGATCCTAGGTTTAGAGCTGAAAGTTATAAGTCATTTAGTCTATGTACTTTCTTTTATAGAGGAGGAAGCTGAAGTCCAGAGAGATGACATCATTAGCCCAATGTCACCCAGGTAGTTAAGTGGCAGAGCTGGAATTTGAACCCAAGACTTTTCACTCTGAAATCACCCTTCTTTTTATCCTATAAATACATCTCAGCTATCTCCATACTTGTCTGCCTGTGTTCTAGCAATTAATCTGATTCCCCTCTCAGTGGAGGCTTGGCCTCTGCCCCCAGGATCGTGGGATCTGACAGGTGAACTTTCACCTCATCTTGCCTAGATATAGCCATCCATGCCACTTCATGTACCCCCTTCCTCTGTTTCCAGATTCCCTTTATAGGTTGTCTTTCCTCATTAAAACATAATTTCATTGAAGGCAGGGTCTGTCTTGTTTACTTATGTTTGTAAATTATACTTAGTTTGTAAAAATGCTTAGCAGAGAACCTGGCACATATTAAGTGATTAACAAATGTTTCCTCCATCCATCCATCCATCCATCATCCCTCCATCCATATTTCTTTTTTCTTTCTTTCTTTCTATCCACCTCCATCCATCCATCTATCTATCTATCTATCTAATCTCTGTTCTGTATGTTTTACTATGCTACTGAACTACCTAAGGATTGGGTGCAAGTTGTAGTATTAGGGAATTAGTGCATGCCATACCACAGAGTTGGCAATGGTCATCTGTAATTTATACTATAGGGTCATAGGATCATTCATCACTTCTGAGATCATTTCCCTTATTCTATTTCTAACGTTTCCTTTTCTGGGGAACACTTGTGAAGTCTTAAAAGTCTGATGATCAGGTGGTCAGGGTTATGGGCATGACAATTATAAATTAAAATTTCCTATCTCCCTAGTAAGAAAAATTGGGGCAACTGAAGAAGAATTGGGAAGCTTATGGAGCCGTATGTGTTGATGGCTGATGAGGATATCTGTATCCTGAAAGTCTGAATCTTTCTCCTATTGTCTTTAAAAGATCAATATAGCAAAACTGTACTAAATTGAAACAACTGTTGGGGTTTTTTCTTCTTCTTTTTTTTTTGGCAATTGGGGTTAAGTGACTTGCCCAGGGTCACACAGCTAATAAGTGTCAAGTGTTTGGTCTGAGGCCAGATTTGAATTGAGGTCCTCCTGACTTCAGGGCCAGTGCTCTATCCACTACGCCACCTAGCTGCCCCGAAATAACTGTTGTTGAGGTGTTTCAGTCATGTCTGCATCTTCATGAGCCCATTTGGGTTTTTTTTAGCAAAGACACTGGAGTGGTTTGCCATTTCCTTCTCCAGCTCATCTGACAGATAAGGAAACTGATTTAACAAATAAATAAGATTAACTTATAATGAACATATTAACCAAAAATAAATAGGCATTGCTAAAGTGGCTTTAAAAGTTGAAAACAGTTTATCTTGTGGTTTTGTGCATACTATTCCTTTGCTTAGGAAATCAGTTTATCATAATTAAATACAAAGGTTAGATTTTTGCTCAACTCCTGACCAAATAACTCGTGAATTTTGAATTTAGGGGTCCTAAGTTTGTTAATGAGGTTTTACTATCTGTAATATACTATGTATTGTAAGGCCCCTGTGGGATGCATTCAGACAATTATAAAGCAAGAACACCCTGTTTCTGTGTTTGTGAAAAAGGTGGGGAGCTTATGGAACCAAAATATGTAAGTCCTGGGAATTCTCAACAACCATGTTGTGTGGTAGAAAGAATGCTGGACTTGATGACAGGAGACTTGGATTATAATTCTAGTTCTTACCTCTCTGGGTCTAGTTTCCTTATTTATAAAATGAGGGGATTAGACTCAACCAGGGGCTCTTTGCTTTTTATTGTGTCACACACCCCTGGGCAGTCTGGTGAAACTTACAGACCCCTTCTAAGATTCATCTTCCTGAGTTCAAATCCAGCCTCAGACATTTGCTAGCTGTGTGACTCTGGGCAAGTCACTTAATTCTGTTTGCCTCATCTGTAAAATGAGATGGAGAAGGAAATGGCCACCAGACACTATACAGCTCTCTTTTCTCTCCTCTGTCCCTCCTTTTCTCTCTTCTCTCTTTCCTTCTCTCTTCTTCTCTCTGTCTTCTCTCCTCTCCTCCTCCTCCTCCTCCTTCTTCTTCTTTTTCTTCTTCTTCTTCTTCTTCTTCTTCTTCTTCTTCTTCTTCTTCTTCTTCTTCTTCTTCTTCTTCTTCTTCTTCTTCTTCTTCTCTCTCTTTCTCTCCCTCCTCCTCTTACTCCTCTCTCCTCTCTTTTTCCCTCTCTCTTTTCTTCACTCTTTTCTCTCTTCTTTCTCTCCTCTTTCTCTTTCTTCTATTCTCTTCTTCTTCCTCTCTCTCTTCTCTCTCTCACTCTCTCTCTCTCTCTCTCTCTCTCTCTCTCTCTCTCTCTCTCTCCCTCTCTTTCTCTCTCCCTCTCTCTTTCAGTTGGCTGCCGGAATCAGAACAATGAGGTCTTCTTTTTAGTCAGCTGCCCTCCCATCTGGAATCTCTCTCTCTCTACTGTTTCCCAGCCCCCACCCATAAATGGTGCAGAGGCACTAAATAAGGAATCTCAATGGGAAAAAAACAGACTTTCAAAGCCTAGTAAAGTGGTCCCCAATCTTTTCAAGTATGAGTGTCTCTTTGATAAAAGATGTACTCAGTATCAGTTGATTGAGAAAAGACAGACTAGCTTTTAAATAAATTTGTATTTTATCACAATAGCCTGTACATACGTTTTAAAAGCATAATACAAAATGTAGAAGATATAAAAAAGATTAATCATAATTTTTTAAAAAGAGCACACACACACACACACACACATGCATGTGAGACATATTCAGTCAACAGAAGGTCTATTTGTTAAAGATCAAAATGGCTGTGGCTGACCCAAGTTCATTTGTAGACACTTTCTGATATCTCTGCCATCCCTCTAGGGTCCATAAACCTAGAGGAGTTATGCCTGGGTTGGCAGCAGTTCATATGAAAAAAAGATCTATGAGGTGGGAAGTCTTAGTTGACCACAAGCTTAATATGAGCCAATGGTATGATGTAGTTGCTAAGAGACCTAATATTCTAAAATAGCATTAATAAAAAGTACAGTGAACAGGTCAAGAGAAGCAACGGTCCCACTGTACTCTGTTGTGGTCAGACCACATATGGAGTATTAGGTTCAGTTGAGTTCTCACTGCTATAAGGAACTCCCAGGGGAGGAAACTCTCCTGCAATGCAGATTGCTACCTTCTCTGCAACGAACAATCTTAGGGAGTTGCTTAGAACCCTGAGAGAGTGAAGTAATTTGCCTGGGGTCACACAGCTAGTGTGTGTCAAATTCAAAACACGAATGTGTTGGTAAATGTTTAATAGCAGTTGTGGGAGAGGATTGGTGGGGTGGTGGGGAGAGACATATAATACACTTTTAAGTTTAATCTCCATTCTTAACATATTCTCTATCACTTTCTTAAGTCTAAACAGTCAACAAAACAATAAACCAAGCCCTGATTGATTTGTAGCATTTACTCATTTTGAGGTATAGCGGCTCACCTTGAACATTTAACAATAGGCTCGCTAAGGCCAGTTCAAAATGGCTCCAGTCCACTTTGGTGTCAGACTTGAAGCCATCTTCCTGTCTTTGAAATCTGCTCTCTATCTACTCCCTCTCTCAGTTCTTCATGACGCCCTTTAAGCAGTATGTTGACAAATCAGAAAGTATTCACAGAAGGGCAATTATGATGCTAAGCAGTTTAGGGGTACAAAGAGTGCTGAGTTTGGAGGGCCAGGGTTCTAATTCTGGCTCTTCCAATTGTTGCCTGGGTAACCTTAGGCAAATCGCTTAATTTCCCTGGACCTCCATTTCCTCCTCTGAAAAATGAGGGGTTGGACTAGATGAGATCTCTCAGCTCCAAATCAATGGTCCTCTATTGATTATTTCCAATTTGTCCCCTATGTATCTTGTTTGTACATAGCTGTTTACATAACATCTCCCCCATTGGAATGTCAACTCCTTCAGGGCAGGAACTATATTTTGCCTTTCTTTGTATCCTCTGTGCTTAGTACAAAGACTGGCTTATAGTAGGTACTTAATGTTTATTGACCACTTGACTGACAGTTGAAAGAACTAGAAATGTTCAACCTAAATAAGAGAAGACTAAGGCAAGAAATGATCACATTCTTTTAAGTATCTGAAGGACAGTCAAGTAGAAAGGAATTGTCTGCTGCTCCAAAGAGAAGTAGGGCTGATTCTAGATCAGTATTAGGAAGAATTTTCTTTTTTCTTTTTCTTTTTGCGAGGCAATTGGAGTTAAATGACCGGCCCAGGGTCACACAGCTAGTAAGTGGCAAGTATCTGAGGCCAGATTTGAACTCAGATCCTCCTGACTCCAGGGCCGGGGCTGTATCTACTGTGCCACGTAGCAGCCCCTGAGCTTTAGATTTTTTTTACCTGTACAACAGGGATAGTAATTTAATTTCCCATCTCACAGGGTTGTTACCAAGTAGAATATTTTGTAATGGCTATAGGACTGTTATTGTAGTTACTATTATTCACCAATTCTAGACCTAATTATTCCTTGACCACCTTATCACATCCATTTTTACATACTGCAGAATCACTTCTCCTGAAGGTAAACTCCCACAGGCTGAAAACATTCTGGTTAGGCTCAATATTAAACAAGGTAGAAATAGCAAGAATTAGGACAGTCACTTTTGGAGTCATAGCTCTTCACCCATGACTTCTGTCTGTGCCTTTTACCTTTATGACCACATGGTGCAGTGAAAAGCATGGGATTTGGAATCGGAGGACATCGCTCTTCCATTCCATTTACTAGCTATGACCTTGGGCAAGTCACCACCTCTTGGGGTCTTGGCTTCCTCCTTTGTAAAGTGACAAAGCTGACCTCGAAGACTCTTCCAGCTCTCAATATATGATCCTCTGACTAGCTGACCGTGAAAGTCATTTCAAGTCTTAATCTATGCTCCTTTGAACCCCAAACATTAAGATCAGCACCAGACCCAGGAGTCTTTCTAAAACTTTGGTCAATCTGTAGTAAGATTTTCCAATGATGAAACAAGGCATTCTTCTCTTTTCTGTGTAAGTTCTGGTTTGCCTTCTTCCTGATTCTGATAGCAAACCATTTACATTTGACCTCTCCCTTTCATTTCCCTGTTGTTCCTAGCAAGTAGGCTGGGTCATTGCCAGTCATCCTGACCTATGGCTTGCCACTGCACTCCAATGATTCTGGAGGACAGAAGAAGGTTGATGGCTTTGTATAGCCCTGCCTCACTTAAATCCAGTTCACTTACAAGTCAAGACATCGCCCTTCTGATGTCATTGGTTCTCTTTGATGTTTTTTTTTTGGTGAGGTGATTAGGGTTAAGTGACTTGCCCAGGGTCACACAGCTACATTGGTCCTCTTTGAGAAGGATGAAAAAGGACAACAACAACAACAACAATCTTATTGTTCCAATAGATAGGAGCAAAGTCTATTGATCCCATTGACCTGCTTAAGGTTCAATCAATCAAATAATCAGCAAGTATTCAGTGGGCCTAGATCTGAGCTAGGCAGGGTTGCAGAGGCCAAGGCCACCCCCAGATGGGTTTGAGCCAATAATAATAATAATAATAATAATAATAATAATAATAATAATAATAATAATAATTTATGTAGCACTTTAAGGTCTGTATAATTCTTTACATATGTTAACTCCAGTAGCTAGGGAGAAATCAGCTGTGATTACTCCTCCCAGTGCACAGTACAGATGAAATCAGGTTTAAAAGAACATTCAAGAGGAAAACACAAATCATAAAGGGAAAATACATTGCCTGAAGGATGTGTTTGAAGAAAGGTGGAATAATCCTACAGGCTCCATCCTTGGCTAGGGTGGAGGAATTCTCAAAATCTGGACTTGGAAGTGACCTCAGAGGGATTCTAATGTACCTTTTCTCTAAACAAGGCACCCTCTATAATATTTTTGCCTACTGGTCATCAGGCCTTTACCTGAAGATCTCCAGTGAGAGGGAAATCACTGCTCCCCAGGGCTGCTCATTCTGCCTTTGGATGGTTCTCGTTACTAGACCTCATGCTTAAGCCTGCCTCTCTATAGCTCCTACCCGTTGTTCCTCATATTATGTCCTTCGAGGCTGACTAAGCAAATAAGTCTAATCTTTCCTTTATGTGACAGTCTTAAAAATGTTTGGGATAGAGGCTACATTCCACCTAAATCTTCTCCTCTGAGTCCTAGCTCTCCCCATGGATGCTCACTCACGTGAGAATGATTTTCAAAAGTCTTCATGACCTAGTTCACTATCTTCTGGATATCCTCCATATACCCCGAGCCTTCCTAAAATGTGCAGGTCAGTGCAGACTTTGGCTTCTCCTAGGGGCGGGGTTCTTAGCGAACTGAACACAATACCCTAGGTGGGGTTTAACCACGGCAGAGTATGTCAGACCTATTATCATCATAATCCTGGACACTATGCATCTTTTAATCGATAATTAGATACAGCATTTATGAAGGGCCAGGCACTGTGCTAGGCACTGAGAATGCAAGCAAGTAAGCTGGGTCCTATCCTCAAGAAGCTTACACTCTAAAAACAGAAAAGAACACAAAAAAGAGAGGTTGGAGATGGGAGGAAGCTACACCCAAGGGGAATGGTTTGGAGCTGGTGGCCAGAAAGCGAGGTGGAAGATTGATTGGTTCCAGGAGACAAAGCAAAAGCTCACCTGTGATGTTTCCTGGGGTGGAATCCAAGTTTCCCAAAGGTGTGGCCAGAGGGAGGCAGCATGGATGGCCCGTAGGCCAGGAAGGGAGGTAGAGGCCTAGATCTAAGCATGATAATGCTACAAGGGTTGGCTCTGATGGCAGCTAATGAAGCCTGACTTTGCATTGGCTTTTTACTGGCTGGTGGTGGTACAGTGGAGAGAGAGTTGGGCCCAGAAACAGGAAGATCTGCATTCAAATCTTTCCTTAGACATGCTAGCTGTGTGACCATGGGCAAGTCACTTAACCTCTATTTGCCTCAGTTTCCTCTACTGTAAAATGGGGATAATAACAGCACCTACCTTGTGGGGTTGTTGTGAGGATCAAATAAGATACTATTTATAAAGCACTTAGTATACTGCCTGGCATTTAGGAGGTGCTTAAGAAACGTTTATTCCCATTCTTTTCCCTTTTTCTGGCAGCCAAATCCCACTATTGAATACATTGAGCTTATGGTCAGCTAAAACTCCTAGATCTTTTTGAATGAACTTTCATTGAGCCAATCCTCCCATTCTTCTGTAATTTATTGCTTTGAACCCAGGTGCAGGAATTTAAATTTATTCTTACTAAGTTTCGTTTTCAACTCAGTGCATCATTCTAGTCTAAGTTGGTGGCTTTAGTTTTTGTTTCTTGGTTTTTTGAGGGTTTTTTTTGCATTCCAGATTTGTCATTAAACATATTAACCATCCCTCCACAAATTTGATGTTAGCCTTCATCATATTTAAGCTATTCATTTCAAGTGCTTAATGGATCAGGGCTAAAGACAGACTGCCTCTAGGCACATGGAATGTACACAGTCAGGGTGTACATGTGGAGGGCCAACCCATGCCTCTGATGTCCCAGGGCTGCTCCCTATGGGGCTCCCATGGTGTGATCTCCACTGGATAATTAGTCTTGGCCAATGTGTAGCATCTGCCAGATGCATGGGTCTGTAGTGGGTAAACATGGCTGCTTCTCAACATTGCCTTGCTTGGTCCATGAGGGTCCACGGGAACAAAGTTGTGGTGCTTCTCCCTTCTTTTGGCTTTCTGGCTTCATCTCCAGAACTTCTTATCTGGGCACCATCTCTTGAAACAAACACACATACATATTTATGAATATATGTGGCACAAATGTAAAGTTAATAATAAATACAAATATGTAAATATGGCCTCAGACACCAGCTGTGTGACCCTAGGCAATTCACTTAACCCTGTTTCCCTCAGTTTCCTCATCTGTAAAATGAGCTGGAGAAAGAAATGGCAAACCACTCCAGTAACTTTATGAAGAAAATCCCAAATAGGGTCATGAAAAGTTGTGCGTCACTAAAACAGCCGAAAAACAACGAAACAAAGTAGTTAAGTGCAAGGTAGTTTGAGAGAGCACTAGAATTTGGGGGGTCAGGAGGTTTCATGTACAAGATGGTGCCTGAGCCATACCTTAAAAGAAGAAAGGACTCTATCAGGTCTCCACAGAGGATCAAATGAGCTAATATTTGTAAGGCAGAGGGTTCCTGGGGAGGGGCAGTTTGAAATTTGGGGCAGACATGCTTGGTAGCCTTGAACCAGCAGAGCTGAAGCCTCAGTCCTGGACACTCTTATTCTTTGGATTCTTATTTTTAAAAAATAGCTTACTAATAATGTGTTCCCAACTGCTGCCCAGCAGCATGTTTCTTTTAAAATCAATAGACAAATAGGCAGACCTTAAGTACAAAGGTCACATCATTCTTTGTAGTAGCAAAGTGGGTGCCCATTTATTGGGGAACAGACAAAAAACTCTGTTATACAATGGAATATGATTATGTAGGAAGGAGGGATGAGCATGAGGACCTTGAGAAGATATGCATGAACTGATGAAGAGAAATAATCAGAACCAAAAGCAGAGTATGTAGAATGATAGCAATAACAATGGAAATGAATAGATCACTAAAAGGAAGTTGAACTATGAGTAATGGAAAACAAAATGAATGCTCTGGAGAATAGGTAATGAAGCATATCTCCGCCCTCCCAGCTGAGGTGTGGAGGGACTCAAAGGACAACATATTGAATATATTATCAGACACTGCCTCCACAGCAGATGTTTTTGCTTAATTGCATTCTTTGTCACAAGGGAGGGCTCATTCTGAAGGAAGGAGAGGGTAGAAAATGATGGTGATTCTCTATATACACAAAGGCACCAATAGAACAATTAAAAAAAAAACACACCAGAGAAAGAGAACTGGGAAATTCTCAGTCCCCATGATAACAAATAATTTGGGATTCAGGGAATTCTAGGAAATTTTCAGTGCCCATGATAACAATTATTTGGGGGGTTTTTCCCTATTGCATAATGGGCTGATTGGCCCATTCCACCCTACATTGGGACTCCCCTGCTCCTGGTCTCTAAATGGAAAAAATAACTTGGTCTAGGCACTGGGAACTTTTTACCCTTTCATGCTTCTGATGGAATCTGAGACTCAGTGGGTTGGGGCAGCTCCAACCCTTCACTATATGGTAGCTTCCTGGCAGACTTTTTTGTATAGGTTTGGGTTGCAGTGGTCTCTTCTTCTGTATGTCCTTATGACCTGGGGCAGCATGCGGTGGGTATCAGGATTTCCTTTTGTCTCCACAGGAATGCTATTGTAGAGAAGCTCTGACTTCAAAAGGCCAGTTACATATGCCTCTCCCTTGAGAGGGATCAGATGTGATTCCATATTGAGCCTCCATTTTGGTGTGCTTCCCCCAAGGTTCAGTCTCTAGTGATTACCAGTCTAGTTTTAATCCAACCCTTTTACATCAATTAGCTTTTACAAAGGAATATTTATTGCAAATATGTAGCAAGCAGAGGAGTTATAAACATTGGCTGCCTAACACTTGAAGGTACACCATCTCCTCTGCCCCCTCAGTCCTTTAAGAAAGTAGACCTTGACTTGACTTGATGTAGGTCTCTGCATAGCATTCACCCTACCAAGTTCACCTCCCAATGCAGCATGCTTGGTTGGTAGAAGAGTCTGGTACCAAGGGTTGAAGGTTGTTCCTTGGGGCCTCCTTGATGGATTAGCTGGCTACAAAACCTTGCATGGATTCTGTACCCAGACCTTCTGGCTGCTTGCTCTCATGACTCTTTGAAGCTCACAGGGCCACAGACATGTCTAACATCCTTCACCTAAAATAATGGACATAGCAGGGACAAAAGCAATAATGGGGCTATAACCTAGTGGGCCACATGCTTCCAGCCCCAGTTGGCACACAAATACTTAAGGCATTTCCCACCAAGGACTTAGTTCTTGCCTCCTCACTTGAACACATTAGATAGGACAAAGCCAGACAGGCCAGTCCAGGGTACCCTATTTTTATGTGTTACAGCTGGTTTTGAAGATTGTGAGATGGTTGATTCTAGGGTGAGCTGGCATTGCCCTGATAGTGAGGGCCTGGGACTGTGGATTTGGTTTCTTTTGGCAACATCAAGGTTAATTACAAAATCATAATAAGCCAGGACTTGCCAAAGAGACCTGCCTTCCCTTTAGCCAAAGCCTCCAGAAGGGAAAGCCTGTAAAGGGTGGTGTGGTTCTATTCTTTTGATTGTTAAAAATAAGTTTTTCCTATTATTAGTGATGTGGAGCACTCTTTCATGTGGTGGTTTTGTTTTACTGGCCAGGTGAATCTGTGTCTTCCAGGGAGGGCAGGGCTGGGGATATAATTTTAATCTATTTTGAAAAATCATTTTCATCATTACTGTCTCTATTGAGATGCTCTTAGACTAGAAGGTGAGACTCCTTGAGCAAGTGCCTAGTTTTGGCTCACTCTTCAGGGTCTCCATAGCAACCTGGACACAAGCAAAGAGACTTAGACCACCACAGAGGGGCTCCAGCCTGTGCGCTCACCCCTGGCCAAAGGCAGCGAGAGTATTATGTGGCTCACAAACAGGACGAATGATGTCTTGAGAAGGATTTATTTGTTTTAATCACCTGAGAACTGAGAATGAAAGTGTGCTCATCTGACTATGACTCCCCAGAAATAGTGTCGTTGAAAGAATATTGCAGGAGTCAGAAGACCTGGGCATGAGTCCCAGCTCTGACACTTACCATTATAGGACCTTGGGAAATTACCTCAGCTCATTTTCCACATCTGTAAAATCAGTGAATGACCCAATCAACAATCATTAGTGTGTGTGTGTGTGTGTGTGTGTGTGTGTGTGTGTGTGTGTGTGTGTGTGTGTGTGTGCTGGGCACTATGCTATATACTAGGAATACAGATACCAAATACAAATAAATAAAACCCTCCATACTCGGAGTCTCTACCCTCAATGGTCTATCAGAGGCTATAACATGTATACGTTTATGCATATACAAAATAATTTGTAACCGGGACTGACGATTCCCCAAAGGGAAGATGCTGGGGAGTCTGCTTTCAGAAAGATGTGATGACACATGGTGGAAATACCTCGATGCACAGACCTGCTGTAGCTAGTTCCAATCTGCTAACCACAGGGCAAAGAGAAACATAGGTACTGGGTTGTATTCAAAAGGCACCAGTCAGCCAGGGCCAGGCTTACGGCTCTGGTTTTTCTAGACTGATTTCTGTTGGAGCAAATGAGGACTAGCCTTCAGTAGGAAGAAAGGCCTCAGGCCCTTCAATCCCTGTCTGTGCTGCCTCAATGTAGCCCATGAGGGAAAGGCCCTGTTATGCTATGCCTCTGTCTGTCCTTTCCTCTTTTTGGTGAAGGAGACAGGAGATAGACACGATCTTGTAAACTTCAAAAGATCAAGAGAATGAGCTAGCAGGAGGCCTAGGTGTAGGATCCAAGGCAGGACTCCTCAGCTGCAAGAGACCTAGAGGCCCCCTCATCCAGCCCCCACATTTTTTCTGCACTGAGGGTCCCGAGGGAATGACCGATAATAGCTGAGATTTGAACTTGTTCAGTGGCTATATTCCATACTTGGAAAGAACCTGGTAGGGGCAAGTCCTACAAGTGAGTTAATTTAGTCTGGACTTCCTCTTCCCAGGGTCCCAGGTGGTATAAGGGAGAGTGTTTCCCCAGATGTTGGGGCAAAATGTTTATACTTCGGTACTTGCTGTATCTGCTGAGTCAACATCCTTTTGTAAAAGCTAATCTTTTTTCCTATTAGTTAAAGGGAACTGGGGCACTGATTGTTGGAGGCTAACAGTGGGGGAACATGCTAGAACAGGATCAATAGCATCAGAGAAAACTGCTGCAAACCCTCAGAGGGTATCCTAGAACTTTGCGAAGGTGATGGAGCCCTCCTCACTTCAGAGGAGTTTGTCCAGGGAGAACTACTACAAACTGCAGAGAGAGAGGCACCAGCAGTTGGAGGGATCAAGAAAGGTGTCACGTAGGAGCAGGTGCTTGAGCTAAGTTTTAAAGGAAAAAAGGGCCACTAAGAAGTGGACAAGAGCACTTGACTGTCAGCCTCCTGGGGCTTTTGCGACCAAAGTAAAACATAAACACATAGGACTATTGATCTAGAACTGGGAAGAACCTCAGAGGTCATCTAGTGCTAACCCCTCATTTTACAGACGAGGCAACTGAGGCTCAGGGACTTTGGAAGCCTTAAGGTACTATTCAAATCTGGATTGTTGTTATTCTTGCTGATGAGGTTGCTAGGTGGTAACAGTGTACAGAGTACTGGGTCTGGAGTCAGGAAGAGATCCAAGTTCAAATCTAGGCTCAGAGACCTCCTATATGTGTAACCTTGGGCAAGTCACTTCAGTGAGTCTTAACTTGGGCAAGTCACTTAACTGAGAGGCAAGTCTGCCTCAGTTTCCTTATCTATCAAATCGGGATAATAATAGCACCTGTCTCTTAGGCTGTTGCAAGGACAAAATGAGCTAATATTTGTAAAACACTTTGCAAATCCTAAAGGGTTATGTAAATGTTAGTTATTATTATTATTCCTTACATATAACATGCCATCTCTCACCTGTGTGTCCCGTGTATGTGTCTTTGATCTGGCTATCCCCAATTCCCAGAATATTCTCCTTCTTCACTTTCCTAGAATCTCTACTTTCATCAGTGCTTAGCTCAAGTGCTACCCTCTGCAGAGGGCCTTTCCTGCTTTGCTTCAAGGATCAAATATAAAATCCTCTATCTGTCATCTAAAGCTCTTTACACTGGAGCTCTTTCCTACTTTTCCATTCTCCCAATATCTCTGTGGTACAGCCATACTGGTCTCTTTGCTGTAAAGAACCTTGGAAGTGCTGAACTCAATTAATAAGTATATATTAAGTGCCTTCCCCATTAGAAAGGGGTCAGGGAGAGGGAATAAGCATGTATTTTGTGCCTACTATGGGCAAGGCACTGTGGTAAGCACTTTTACAAATATTATCTCATTCAATCCTCACAACAGCCCTGCAGGGTAGGTGCTGTTAGTATCCCTGTTTTATAGTTGAGAAAACTGAGGTCAAGTGACTTGCCCAGAGCCACACAGCTAGTGAGTATCTGAGACGAGATTTGAACTCAGGTCTTCCTGATCCACACCCAGCACTCTATCCATTGCACCACCTAGATGCCTCACTGAGCTTCCTGAAAGCAGAGGATGTTTTCTGCCTTTCTTTGTTATCTCCAGCATTTAGCATCAAGCCTGGCACATAGTAGGTACTTAATAAATGCTTCTTGACTAAAATTCCTTGTTAAGAGTCAGGTACTGGCCATACAAATAAATGCTTGTTGACTTGCTTATAATTGGAATATAAATACAATGAATGAAACAAACCCTATTCTCAAGGAGCTTCCATTGAAACAAGAGACACAACCAATGTGCATATAAATCAATGGTTTTCAAAGAGAGGTCTATGGACTCCTTTATGTCTGTAAGGCATAGAAGTGTATATAAAAATAGAAAAAAACCTATTTTCATAATAACAATAAAATGTCTTAATTTCTAATGTGCTAAATATTGAAAGATATAACCGACATAAAAACAAAAACTCTTTGGGGAATTCTCAAGAATTTTTAAGGAATCCTGAGACTAAAAGTTTGAGAACTACTAATACAAACACATATTGAAGAAATGTAGAGTCTGTCCCCTCGCAATTTACCATTTAGTTTTGTACTCACATTAATCTGGATAATTTAAAGTTGACTCTGACTTCAGTAGAGTCAAGAAAGATTTCAGCACCAATTTAGTCCAGCTCATATCTGAATCCCCAACTAATAGTCATCCAGGCCTTACTGACCTGTACTGGTCTCTTAGGGTTTCATGTATGTTAGTCTTGTCTCTCCAGTTAGAGTCTTTTTTTTTTTTAGGCAATTGGGGTTAAGTGACTTGCCCAGGGTCACACAGCTAGTAAGTGTCAAGTGTTTGGTCTGAGGCCGGATTTGAACTCAGGTACTCCTGATTTCAGGGCTGGTGCTCTATCCACTGCGCCACTTAGCTGCCCCTCTCCAGTTAGATTCTTGAGAATGGGAGCTGTATCTTATATTTCTTCTCTAGTCTCCCAAAACCACCCAGCAAAGGTCTGGGCATCTTGGGTAGAGACTTGTAAATTCCACTGGACTGACTCTTAGGCCTCTTTGCCAGATCACAATAACAAATGATGGCATTTCTCCTTTTCCTAAGGGTAAAGGTTGATTGGGCAATTATTATAAGATCCTTTGGAACAAAGGTACTTCAAAGACTCAGAAGGCTATGACCCTTTTGTCTGAGGATAGGTAGGTGAAATAATCCTTGAAGATTCATCAAGGTTGAATGAGGAGGATTCATGAAGGCTATTACAAAGGTTAAAAAAATTGGAAAGGTGACAGAAAATCAATTTGCTAATTATATTGAGTTGCTATTTACACAAGGCTGAGCAGCTTTTAAAGCTACCTAATTCAACTCAGTTGAGTGACTGCTGTATATAAGTTCCTAGGCTAGCTGCTTAGGATGTACAAAGACCTTGCTCTCAAACAATAGGACACTATTCTAAGTGCTAAGAGTATAAATACAAAAATGAACTAATCGCTGCCCTTAAGGAGTCTGTATTCTATAGGGGAAGAGAACATGCACATACATAGGATGATAGAGCTAAAACTGCACTAAGACTTTTGGGACACCATATGTATACACATATACATATACATACATATATGCATGCATATACACAGATATATATGTATGTGTATACATACATACATACAAATATATCTATATATCTATATATATATATCACCCCTTCTGGTCCCACTTCCCCAACTCACACTGGCCGTAAAAAGTTGGGTCTCTTGGTATTTTTAGTGCTTATCCTCTATGCCTAGAATTCTCTCTGCCTCTTGGCTTCTCTGGATTCCTTCAAATGGCAGCTAAAATTCTACCTTCTACATGAAACCTTTTTTCAGTCCTCTTAATGTTAGTGCCTCCCCTCTGAGATAATTTCTACTTTTCCTATACATATCTTGACATAGATGTGCATACTAAATATATAACATGCAATATATGTGTTTTATTTATATATACATACATGTGAGTGTATGTAAAGCATATAGATACACATATACCTATGTCCATTTCCCTGTCTATCTTGCTGTTTCTATCTCTGTCTCTCCACTGTCCCAAAGTCCATTGGGATGAGACTCTCTCCTCCCTGGTGGAGATGAATACCCCATTCCTCACTCAGGCCAGAGCATTCATCTCTACCAATGAGGAGAGAGTCTCATTCCAATGGGCTTTTCGACAGGGGTTATATCCCCATGTATGTATGTATACATACATGTCTATATAAATAATACATACATATATATGCCACATATGCATTTATATACACATGAGTCTAATACATGATACATGTGCCCCTATAAATATACATACATATACACACACATATAGATATATAGATATAGATATAGATAGATATAATTGTTTGAATGTTGTATCTCCCATTATAAGCTCCTTGAAGGCAAGGACTGTCTATTTCAGGGGTGGGGAACCTGGGGCCTCAAGGCCAAATGTGGCCCTCTAGATCATCAAGTGGGCCCCTTTGATTGAATCCAAATTTCACAGAACAAATTTGTTGGACTTGAGGACCTAGAGGGCCACAAGTGGCCTCGAGGTCCCAGGTTCCCCACCCCTAGAGTCTATTTTATTTCTTGATATCCCCAGCACTTAGCACGGTGCCTGGCAAAAGGTAGGGAAACTTAATAAATACCTGTTGACTTGATGGCTTAGAATTTAGTTGAAAGACAATATAAATGTAATGCGACAACTTGATAATAATCACTGGAATTTACTTAGAACTTCAAGATTTGCCAAGTGGTATACAAATATTACCTCATTTGATCCTCACAACAACCCTGGAAGGTAGATGCTATTATTGTCCCCATTTTACATATAAGGAAACTGAAGCAAACAGAGGTTAAGTGGCTTTCCCAGGGCACCTAGTTGTTTGTCTTTTGTTTTTGAACAGGACCAATGCCACCATGGGGTGATGTCTTGACTCACTTGTGAATTGGATTTAACTAAGGCAGAGTTGCAAAGATTATCAGCCTCACTCTCTCTTCCAAAGTCATCAAAGTCCGGTGGCAGGACAAAAGTCAGGACAACTTGGCAATGGCCTGGGATGCAGTGGATGACTTTGGCATCTTTGATATGTGACCAAGCTCTAATCATGCCTGCTGGAAGCCACCTTCATGATCATTGGAACAAACTGTTCTCATCCGCCTATTCCTCTGGGGAAATCTTCATATGTTTGGGGTAGACATCCCTTAACTCACCAACGAGTTTCAGCCCAGGTTACCCTCAACCTGCTTTAATCCGTCTGTCAAGATGCTTTTACTGGGGATTTGACTGTTGCACTCACTACAACTTCTTGGAGATACAGGTGAGAGTGACAGCAGGTGTCTGAGGAGGATTTATCCACTGTACCTGCTAGCTGCCTAATGGTACTAATTGGAATATGATCCTAAGGCAATACATAAGCAAAAGTATGAAAGCTGCAAAAAGAACACTATACTAGATGAAATTAGGAGTTAAGGGAATACTTGCTATGGAGTAGGCTTCTAGGTAGGTGTTCATGAAGGGGATGAATTTTGTGCTGGTTTATGGTGGAATTATGTGATTTGGTTTTGTGGAGAGGTGGTGTGAGGGCATTCTAATCAAGGAGAAAGGCTTGGGTAAGGTCCTTGAAGTAGAAATGATCAGGCTGTGTGGATGGGGACAGCAAGGAAACTGGCCCAATTGAAGGCTACTTTCTTTACCTGCTGAACTAGATGATTTCTGGGGTTCCTTCCAACTCAATGATTCTGTGGAATGAAGGGGTGGGGCTGGGGAATATCAAGAAATGAGTCTGGATATATAATGTGGACTTATTTAATGGAAAGCTTTGAATGCCAGGCTGAGGAATCCAGTTTGAATTTAATACATCATATATGTGTGTGTGTGTGTGTATGTGTGTGTGTGTGTGTGTGTGTGTGTGTGTGTGTATGCAAGAGAGAGTGGTCAATATTTAGAAGGGTTGGAATCAGGCAGGACATGGAGTGATAATGAGGACATGAGGTGGTGATGGGATTGAGTTCTGAGATCAATACCCATCTGACTGGAATGCTTGGTGAAAGTTTCTTTATAAGGGGAAAGGGAAGGTGGATTAAATAACTTCTTAAATTCTTTTCTGGTTCTTTTTCTGTGCTCTGTGACCTCCCAAACCCATTAGTATTAAATCACTTAACAGAATTAAGCAGATCCAACATTCTGCCTGGTGTTTTATTTCATCACTAGCAGCCCTCTGAGCCAAATGCTAGGTCAGGGAACTTACCCGAATTCTTCAAAAGGGTCTTAACAAACTTCACTTTGAAAAAAAATTTTTAAAGTAGGAAATTCAATCTTCACTCTGCCCCCATACTTATAAATCATCTATCTATACTGTAATCCTAAAACCCTTTTCCTAAGGGAATCCTAGCTTAGCTGATTGAATTTGGCTGATGCAAACACATTTACTTTTAGATATGTCCTTTGTACTTACTTCCGGTTTCTCCATCAGCTCTTCATCAGGAGTTCACAGAGAGATGATTTCCATCTGGGTGGAGTAAACAATAGGCATTACTTTGAATTTATGGAGAAGCTCAGAACATTTGTAGGCTGGGAAAAATTGGCCCAGTATTTCTCATAATTAATAAATAACATAGTAATGATGAATTTGTTTGATGGTAGTTAAATTCAGAGGCATTTCAGTAAATGTAATAGCCAGCTGTCTGGAGGGAAAATGTACCCACAACATACTTTTAAGTTTAATCTGTATCATTAACATTTTCTTTATCACTTTTTTAAGTTTAGATAATCAACAAAATAATAAATTAAGCTCTGGTTCCAAGGTGTAAATGCTTACATTGAAAATTTAACAACAAGCTCTTAAGAGCCAGTATGAGCTAAGTCCAGCACACCTCTGGAATTGGTCTTTGTGCTTTGAATGCCAAGAAGAATTTGGGTTTTCCTTATTTTAAGAAAAAAACACTGATGTTGGAAAAGGTCCAGAGGAGTGGTTAAAAAAAAATCAAATATTCCTAACCCCAGTAGCTGAGGTCTTTGGGTATATAACTAGGCTACTAGGCTGGTTTGCTTTTGTATGTTATGTACCTAATCTGTTCCATTGATAGATCTCATTTTAAAACCAGTACCAAATTGTTCCCTTCCCTTCCTACATTATTTCATTATTTCCCTGGATATTTTTTATCTTTTATGCCTCCAGATGAATTTCATTACTATTTTTTAAATTCCAATTAATAAAGCAATTCTTTAATAGCTTGATATGACACTGAATAAGTAAATTAATTTAGGCAGTGCTGTGATTTTTATGACATTAGCTCAGCCTATCAGCAACCAATGAATATTTCTCTACGTAGGTCTATTTCTATAAACAAAGTTTTGGAGTTGTACTCAAGTGATTCTTGTGTTTTTCTTAGTAGGCAGACCCTCAAATAGTTTGGCTATTTTAAATTGAATTTCTCAAGCTCTTTCTATTGGGTTTTATTTATATTATATAGAAATACTGATTATTCTTATGGATTTATTTTTATCCTGAAATTTCACTGATGTTATTGTTTCTATTAAATTTTAGTTGATTCTTCAGGGTCTTATAAGTACACCATAATGTCATTTGCAAAAGTAATAATTTTGTTTCAATTTCATTTTCTTGTCTTATTGTTGTCCAGGGGTGGGGAACCTGTGGCCCACCCCTAGTTGTAACTAACATTTCTAGCACTATGTCAAATAAAAGTGGTGACAATGGGAATACGTGTTTCTTCTTGGAAGGGTTTCTAAGTTATTCCCATTGTATATAAAGCTGGCTTTTAGGGTGTATGTGTGTGTATCTATATATCTATATGTGTGTGTATGTATTTATACATGCATAAATACACATGTATATATGTGTGTATATAAAATTTACCATGTTAAGGAAAGGCTCCTGTTTTCGAGGGTTTTTTTATTTTTTTTTTCAATATAAATTTATTTATTTTTAGTTTTCAATATTCACTTCCACAAGTTTTTGAGTTCCAAATTTCTCACCCCTCCCCCCACCCCAAGATGGCATGCATTCTGAATACCCATTCCCCTGGTCTGCCTTCTCTTCTATCTCTCCCCCCTCCCTTCTCTTATCCCCTTCGCCTTCTATTTTCCTGTAGAGCAGGATAGACTTCTGTACCCCATTTCCTGTATTTCTTATTTCCCAGTTGCATGTGAAAACATTTTTTTTAAAACATGTGTTTTTAAAACTTTGAGTTCCAAATTTTCTCCCTTCCTCCCTCCCCACCCACCCTCATTGAAAAGGCAAGCAACTCAATATAGGTTGTACATGTGCAGTTATGCAAAACACTTCCTTAGTAGACATGTTGTGAAAAACTAACTCTATTTCCCTTAATCCTATCCTGCCCTCCCATTTATTCTATTCTTTCTTTTGACCCTGTCCCTCCTCAGAAGTATTTACTTCTGATTACCCTCTTTCCCAATCTGCCCTCCTCTCTATCACCCCCTGCTCTCTTGTCCCCTTCTCCCCCTATTTTCCTGTAGGGTAAGACAGATTTCCATACCCAATTGAATGTGTATGTTATTCTCTCCTTAAGCCAAATCCTATGAGAATAAGATTCCTCATTCCCTCTCACCTTCCCCTGTTTCCCCTCCACTGTGAGACTTTTCTTTTCTGTTTTTTTTGTGAGATAATTTACCCCATTCTACCTCTCCCTTTCTTCTCCGAGTATCATCCTCTCTCATCCCTTAATTTTATTCTCCAGATATGACCCCTTAATCTTCAACTCACCCTGTGCCCTCTATCTATCTATCTATCTATATACATACATATTTTTTTCCTTCAACTACCCTAATACTGACAAAGTTCTCATGAGTTACAAATATCATCTTTCCATGCAGGAATGTAAACAGTTCAATCTTAATAAGTCTCTTATGATTTCTCTTTCCTGTTTACCTCTTCATGTTCCACTTGAGTCCTGTATTTGAAAGTCAAATTTTCTGTTTAGCTCTGGTCTTTTCATCAGGAATGCTTGAAAGTCCTCTATTTCACTGAATGACCATTTTTTCCCCTGAAGGATTATACTCAGTTTTGCTGGGTAGGTGATTCTTGGTTGTAATCCTATCTCCTTTGCCCTCGGAATATTATATTCCATGCCCTGCGGTCCTTTAATGTAGAAGCTGCTAAATCTTGTGTTATCCTGATTGTGTTTCCACAGTACTTGAATTGTTTCCTTCTGGCAGCTTGTAATATTTTCTCCTTGACCTGGGAACTCTGGAATTTGGCTACAATATTCCTAGGAGTTTTCCTTTGGGGATCTCTTTCAGGAGGAGGTCTATGGATTCTTTCAATTTCTATTTTGCCCTCTGGTTCTAATATATAAGGGCAGTTTTCCTTGATAATTTCTTGAAAGATGATGTCTAGGCTCTTTTTTTGATCATGGCTTTCAGATAGTCCAATAATTTTTAAATTCTCTCTCCTGGATCTATTTTCCAGGTCAGTTGTTTTTCCAATGAGATATTTCACATTGTTTTCTAATTTTTCATTCTTTTGGATTTGTTTTACAGTGTCTTGATTTCTCATAAAGTCACTGTCTTCCAATTGCTCTATTCTAATTTTTAAGGAAGTATTTTCTTCAGTAATCTTTTGGACTTCCTTTTCCATTTGGCCAATTTTCTTTTTAGGGCATTTTTCTCCTCATTGGCTTTTTGGACCTCTTTTGCCATTTGGGTTAGGCTGTTTTTTAAGGTGTTATTTTCTTCAGTATTTTTTTGGGTCTCCTTTAGCAAGCTGTTGACTTGTTTTTCATGATTTTCTTGCATCACTCTCATTTCTCTCTCCAGTTTTTCCTCTACTTCCCTTACTTGCTTCTCAAAATCCCTTTTGAGCTCTTCCAAGGCCTGGGACTGATTCATATTTTTCTTGGAGGCTTTGGATGTAGGAGCTTTGATTTTGTTGTCTTCTTCTGGTTGTATATTTTGATCTTCTTTTTCACCAAAGTAAGATAATATAGTCTGACTCTTTTTGCGCTGCTTGCTCATGATCCCAGCCAATTACTTGAGTTTTAAACTCTTTGTTAAGGTAAGAATCTGCTTCCAATGTGGAGAGTGTACTGTCCCAAGCTTCAGGGGTTTGTGTAGCTGTTTTCAGAGATACTTGTAGGGACCTGTAAATTTTCAGTTCTTCCAAGGTGGTATGATAAGGGGTGAGGTGTTTACTCCTTTCCTGGCCTGTGACCACAAGTATTCCTTTCTGTCCTGTAACTGTGAGGAGGGGTTCTCTCCACAGCCACTACAAGCTCCACCATGCCAGCACTCCTCCTCACCCCAGCACTGCCGCCCAGAACTGTGACCCAGATCCACACACGGGCAAAGCAAGAGATTCCTGCCTCAGCACTGGCAAAGAGATCCCTGCAGTCCCTCTCTGATCAGCCACTGGATTCCCCCTCAGTCTGTGGGCCAGAAGCTCAGGAAGCAGCTGCCCCCCCCAGGGCCATGCTCTTGGGGAATGGAGCTGAAACCCCGCCTTCCTCTCTGACCTCCGACAGAAACATACTTTTCCCACTGACCTTCTAAGTTGTCTTTGGCATTAGTGGATTGAGGAGTCTGGAAACCTCCACAGCTGCCCGATTCAGTCCTCTGAGGCCTGCTCCAGGTTTGCTGCGGCCTGTGCGCCCATGCTGCGCTGCGCTCCCAGCCCGGCGCAATACACCTTTCTGATGAATCATCTAGGTTGTCTTGGCTGGAAATTTGTTTCACTCTGTCTTTTTGTGGGTTCTGCTGCTTCAGAATTTGTTTAGAGCCATTTTTTATGAGTATTTGGAAGGGTTTGGGGGAGAGCTCAAGCAAGTCACTGCTTTCACTCTGCCATCTTGGCTCCGTCCCTCTTTTTGAGGTTTTTTTAAAAACAGAAATAGACATTGTATTTTGTCAAACACTTTTTTCTGCATCTATTGATACAATAAAATTTTTATTGTTCTTGTTATTAATACGATCAATTATGTTAATAGTTTTCATAATGTAATTCTTGTCCCAAAGCCTATGGGTTTGGGAATCTCTCCTCATTGGTGGAAATCAAAACCCTGCCCCTGCATCAGGGGCCTGGCAGAGTTGGTGAGAGGGAGAGATCTCCAGTCTTTTCAGTCTCTTGATTCTTCTTTAAGCTTCTTCCCAGAGTGTTTTTCTTTTGCAACCTGAAATGGGATTGATGTCATCCATCTTCTCTGTTGAAGCTGGGAGCATTCCAAGACTGAAGTGACCTGAAGAAAGGGGAGTGTGTGTGTGTGTGTGTGTGTGTGTGTGTGTGTGTGTGTGTGGCAGCATTAGGTTATGAAGGCTTTTGAACAGTCAGAAAAAGGTTTTGAAGGGTTAGAGAAAGAGATTGGCTGGCAGACTGGGGTGGAGAAGGGTGGGGTGGTGGATTCTTGAGTGCCAGAAATAGATTGTACACACATCGATTGACAAAGAGAGAGAGAGAATGTAGAGAGTAGGAAAAACATAGAATTTGGAGTTAGAAAGTTGAAACTTGAACAAAGACCTCTCTGGGCCTGCTTTCTTGACTATAAGAATGTGGACTAGAGAATTTATCATGTACTTCTCTAGATTCCAATATTTCCAAGAATCTGATTTTTGTCATTAGTACTCCCTTCACCAACTTGTATCACAATGCCTGTATAACTTAGTAGATGGTCTTTAAGAGCTTTTGTGGTTGAGAATTTAATAACCTCATGGCCAATCTAATGATGAAAATTTCTCAAAATTTAGCTTTACTATCACCCCATCCAACATGGTAGGCCCTGTCAGAATCTGTGTTCTGTTGGCATAGTCTTCAAGAAATCAGCATCATCTCCTTTATGCTCACAAGGCAAATTTATTAATGGCAAAGAAAATCCAGGGTTTTGGATTTCTACTTTGAATACTGTACTTAAGAATCCATCGGAAAGCAATATGCCAGTGTAGCTGAGTGGCACCACCTAGAGGTAAATGATGTGTCTTACTTTCAATTTGCTCCTTAGGTCTCTAGCCTAAGAACATCTTTCTGTTGCTCCCCGGTTCTGGTTCCTCCTTAGCTAGCAAGAAGTACACAGGTATGTCAGTGCGTAGAGCTGCCCGATCCTGCCCTTCTACAGGATCACAAATGTGTCAGCATAATTGAGCCTTTGTTTTGTAGAGATCCCTCCTAAAGGGTTTTCCATTCCAATCGGGCTTCCAACTTCACTGAAACTGCTCTCTTCAAAGTCATCAATGGTTGGTCAGTTGCCAAATCTAATGGTTTTTCTCAGTTCTAAGTTTTCTTAACCTGTCTGTTGCCTTTGACACCGATGACCACCTACTTTTCTTGATAATTCTTTTTTTTTTCTTTTACTGACACTAGTCTCTCCTGGTTTTCCCACCTATATGACCACTTCCTTGTTAGCTCATCATTCATATTCCCCTTTCCCTAAACTGTGGGTGTTCTGTCTTGGGCCCTCTTCTAGTCTTCCTCTACATTCTCTCTTGGTCCGCGGTTCCCATGAGTTTAGTTATTACCTTTATGCAGATGACTCAGATAGATCTATATCTAGCCCCAGTCTTTTGTCAGCCACACACCACTAATTAATTGCCTGTTGGATATTTCAGCATGTCCAAAATTGAACTCATTATCTTTTCCCCCAAACTTTCGTTTCTGTTGAAAGCACCACCATATTTCCAGGCTCTAAGGTTTGTAATGTTGGCATCATCCTCCACTCTTTCTCATCCCACATTATCTCCATTAGCTGCCACATCTTGCTATTCCTAACTTCACATCTCTTTCATCCAACCTCTTCTCTCCACTCAGCACAGATACTACCTTAGTTGATGGTGATTGACTAAATTATTGCAACACCCTCCACCCTGCCCCATCTGTTCCCATTCTAGTTCATAATACAGACTGCTGCCGAAGTAATTTTCCTGACCCTGTGACTCCATACTTAACTCCAGTAGTTTCCTGATGTGTCTAGGATAAATCAAAAACTCCTCTGTTTAGTTTTCTAAATTGTCCCCAACCTATCTTTACAGCTTCAATGGATACTACTCCCCCTCCCACACTCTGATATCCAGTCACACTTGCCTTCTCTATTTTCCTCACCTGAAACTTCATCTGACTGGCCATCCCACGTGCCTAGAATGCACTTTTTCCTTTAAGACCAAACTCAAAGCACCATCTTCTAAATGAAGCTTTTCCTAATCCCACTTGCTAGTGTCTTCCCTGTTGGAGCTACCTTGTCTTTATCTTCTTTGTATTTACTCATTTTACCTTTATTTATGTCTTTGTTCATCTCCCCCATTAGAATATAATCTCTTTATATATTGAGATTATTTCATTCTTTGTGCAGTAGCACTAGGGATGAACTGTGGATGGCTATTTTATTTTTTATTTGCCAATTGCTGATCAGATTTATGATAATCAAATCCCTAGCAAAGAATCCCTAGCAACTTAGTTTAAAAACAACACATTTTTTTTCCCTGAATTTTGAGCACTATTCAAATATGTGAAGGGGTACAACTTGGTCTAATCTTATCTAGAATATCACAAATGACTCAGCACTGTAATATTACTTCACTATAAGAATATGAAGAGTTCAGAGAAGCATGGGAAGATTTTTCTATTTTAATCTTTTGTTGTAAAGTGTAAAGGCTTGCTGAGTAGGGTGTATATTTCAAAACGGTGATGTAAAATTTTTTTTTCTTTTTTAAAGAGAAGGCCCTTTCCTCCACCAAAAAAAAAAAACCAAACCAAAAACCCAAAAACTCAAGTCTAAAATAAATGATTCAGCACACATCTCTAATTTGTAAGAAACTACTCTCAGTGCTCAAGAAGCTGAGAATCAGATGTGACTGGGTAGGAAAAGACAGGATTACAAGGGAAAGCAATTAGGAGAGAAAAAAAGGAAGCAAACAGAATACATTGGGATAAAAAAATAAAGGGATATATGGCAAGGGAGGCAGGGAAATAACAAAGCCAAGAATGAAAGGAGGATAAAGGTGAGGAGAGCAACAGCATTTGAAACTTGCCTTGTTCTAGCATCCCACTGAAATACTAAGATGTACTAGGGTGATGGTTGAGTGAACATTGCTTTATTGCCTTATGCCCATATGTATGTCTCAGGGTTCATCCTAGATTACATTCAAAACCTACATCCTGGGTTCTCAAGACTGAATGACCCATGGCTGGGATGAACTCTGAACTTCAGCAGACCCTTTGAAAACTAGATTTATCTGCCTACTGAGCCTACTGAATTTTAAAGCTCCAAGGTCTCAAGTCCTATCTCTTCCACAAAGCTTCTTTCAAGTACCTCAGCCTCCTTCTCATTTGACAACTCGACTTGGCTCAGTTTTATACTTAAGTACCCTCCCATATTGTACTCCTAGCCATTCAACATTTTTATAATGTTCTTATTATTACAGAAGGCTTCACATACAGTTGAGTTCTGCCAACTGTGAGACAGGTAAGGAACATATCATGCCCATCTTTCAGATCAGGAAACTAAGGATCAGAAAGAATAAATGACAAGGGTGCACAACTGAGTCAGAGCTCAAACCCAGGGACTGGCTCCCAAGTTTAATACTCTTTCCACTACTTTATTATGTGCAATAGAAGCTTGACTCCTTCTGGAAAAGGAACAAATCTTCTGTATCTCCACAGTACTCAGTATCTCAGCTACCGCCAATGCTTCAACAATGCTAGTTTTCAGTCAGCAGATTTCCATGACCAAAACTGCTTGCAAGAATTGACTGTTGCTTGCTGCTTATTTGGCACCATAGTAAAATGTCTGCAGACTGGAGCATTAATACCAGAGATTCCTGTTCTGTAGTCACACATCAGTCACCTCAAAATTCTCTAACTTGCATATTTACTGCTCATTAGGTCTAGTTCTATCCTCTGGAAGACAGACATGCCACCTCTCAGTTTTCTCCGAAATAATTTTCATTCCTCCTATGACATGCTTTGGCATCCCTTCACCATCCTGATTATGCTCCTATGGATGAGTTCTGGTTTGTCAATACTTCCCTTTCCGGTTTGTTTTTAATTTCTAAATGTCAATGTAAACAAATTAATATTTGGGAGCACCTGACCCAATAAAAACACTTATAAATTAATTGTAAGTATTAGGGACAGCTGCTGCTTTTTTTTTTTGGCTAGGCAATGGGGTTAAGTGACTTGCCCAGGGTCACAGAACTAGTAAGTTGTTATGTGTCTGAGGCATGATTTGAACTCAGGTCTTCCTGAATCCAGGGCCGGTGCTTTATCCACTGTGCCACCTAGCTGCCTCTTAGGGATAGCTTCTTGCATGGAAATTGTCTTCTTGCTATATCCCTTTCACTATCCAAATTTGTAGTTTCACTCTTAATTTTTATTTTTAGAGAATCTTACATGAGAGGATAGGCCAGAAATAAGCTTTCTAACAGACCCAGTAAATAATGTTGACATTAACTTTTCCAGACAGATGGTCTCATAAAGTATTTCTTCTATATGACCTTTACTTTCACAACTATCAAAAAAAAAAGACATCTAGAAAAATAAAATATTCAACAATGACAATTTATTTTCAGAACTTCATCATTTTTACAAAAAAAAAAAGCAGGTATCAAAAACAGCAAAGAGTTTTCTGAAATTCTGCACCAGTTTTCACAGAAGTAACCGATATGTGAACTGGTGTCGGACGTAAGTATTAGACACAGGCTGTTTCCCTCCTGGTCATATGCATTCAGGTGGTCCCAGGTGATTTGCTCTAGAGTTCCTGAAGAATAGCTTTTTAAAAGCACCTGTCATTTTTGAGAGAATTGATTTGGTTTATCCAACAAAGTAAACACTTTTTGTTGTGTGGCTGTTTCTCTTAAAAACAAAACACTGTAATAATACACGGAATGTGTATGTGTTTGGATCGGAACCAAATCTTTTGAGATACCAACTACCTGAAGAACACTGATCAGAGAGACAACTATAGGGCACATACCAGTTGTACATTTCATACTGTCAAAGGCAGCTACTTTGCTTTTTGTAAAAATAGCATTTTATTCAGGTGCTGCCCAGGACATGAATCATATTACAATTCCCATTTTCCTTTCCCATTAGGATCACAGTTCCCTTAAACAGGGCCATTCCATGGAGGCAAAAGCTTTATGCTTATGCTAGTCAGGCAGTAATATTGTGCAGATATTTCTGAATATACTATGACCCCTTGTTCTGGATCCTGAATAGTCAAAGAAACTGAGAAGATATAAATAGCAGATGCTGAGAGAAAGAACACACAACTCACAACATATATAATCTGGATGCAAAGAGAACCAAAGCTGCAAGGTGTGTGTATTTTCTTTTAAAAAAAAAATCTGTTTCAGTAATACATTCTTCTTGACCAGAAGTTGGTCCAGTTTTGCAATGTTAATAGCTGCCAGTCTTTCAAACATCTCTTTTAAGGTATACTGCCTGATTGGCAATGTATCAAGACACTGCCCTCAGGTTTTGATCAAATACCAATGTATCAGTTTGAAAGACCTAGCCAACAGGTGTAAGGGAGGGGGTGTGTGTGTGTGTGTGTGTGTGTGTGCGCGTGCGTGTGTGTGTGTGTGTGTCTCTGAAACAGTTTTGAATCAAATATGCCTGTTAAAACAAAATTGCACCTCTACATTGCCCCAATTTTTAACTAAAGAAAAAACCGATATGCATTTTTTTCCTTCACAGATATGAAAAAAGAAGCAAGAAGGCAAAGCTGAGAGACGTAGACGCTCCCCACAGGGCAGCAGCGGCATTTGGCTGTTTTGGTCTTTGTACCAGCAACTCCCATAGCCGTGGCAGGTGCCCACTTTTTGCTGGACTAAACTGTTTTCCTGGCAGTCAAGACTCGAACGATGGACCCTACCCCTCCAGCAGCAAGTGCCTATAAACAAACCAAAAGGCAAATGCTGAAACAAAATCATTAACCAGACATCTTTACATCATGTAAAATGTTGGGGGTTAATTTGTATTGACAACACAAAACTGGGTGAAGACATTGATTTTTACATTATATAGTACTATATGTTGAAAAGAAGCATCAAAATGAAACCTTTCCACTTAAATTCATGAACACATGGATAAGCAAATACAAATGGGGTTAGCCGACACATCCAAATTCTCAAGAATGTATCTAAACTTCAACTCTGATATGCATATTTTAAAACGAATGATGAGTCAGTGACTCAAGCTAAAAATCTACTACCCCAATATCTATTCAGATTGGGGTAGTATTTTTTTAGTCAAAGATTCTTCTTAAATTGAAAAGGTACTATTTAATAACTAATAAGATATTCTAAAAGATTTAAACCATGACCATTTCCTTATATTTTTGAAGAAATGGGGCCCAAAGTAATCCAAAGTGATTGGATTTTTCAATCGTTATCTTCATCTGAATGGGTTTTTTGGCGTGTGTTTTAACATAAAGGAGGACACAGTTTAGCAGTTTTAAATTTTAATAATTTTGTATACATGCTTGATAGAAGCAAACTGTAAATGGTACATGTCTGTGTAAAACTAAATTGACTGTGGCAATTCAAAGCCAAAATTTTGATTATAACTTGTAAAATATTTTTAAAAAGTCACTTGGTAGCAACTAGAAAATATTTTCAACAAACAGAATGTCACTCTACTGCTTAAAAATTTTCAAGTTCTCTACTGCTTAACATGAGATATGGAACTTACATTTAAAGCACAGATTTATCTGAACTGCATTTTTTAAAAAATTGAAAATCGCACAAGAGAGCCTAATTTAGTCCACTTCTGTTATTAAGAATATGAAATCATACGAGACTTTATAATAAAAGGCAAAGTCATGCCTTGTACTATAACAGCTAGCTCTTGGGCAGTTTAAATAATGAATCCTTTGAAGTGGTTACAAATACTCAAATTCATCCTATCTGAAGTGACAGTTACATGAAATACAGTAACTGGTTCCAGGATGGTGGAATATGCAGTGCAAATCTAAAAAATGCTAGCTGTACCTCCATAAGACACACATACAAAAATCAGTCTTGTTACTTTATAGTCACCAAGGCTGTATAGTACACATATAATTAATATTATTAACATATACACATAATAAAATTGAAGTTACAGACTTGCTACACTTTAATGTATATATTATTTACTAATGGTTTTGTTTACATATCTATAATCTGGGGAAATAATTTGCCTAACAATAATAAGGTTTAAGATTTCTTAGTTCTTGTTACAAAGTAAAAATCTGCCTTACTGTAGTGAAAGATAAATTTGTATGTAGTTATATCATCCTACATGACTTCTCTATTAATACTGAGGACACCACCATTCTTGTCATCATCTAGGATCAAAACTTAGGTGTCATCCTTGACTCCTCACTATCTCTCAACCACTCCCAATCTATTGCCAAGTTCTGTCCATTTCACCTTCACAACTCTCAAATATACTTCCTTCTTTCCTTGGACACCGCTACCACCCTGGTGCAGGACCTCATCTCCTTATGCCTGACCTACTGTAACAGCCCATTGGCTGGTCAGCCTACCATAAGTCTCCCCTCACTCAAGGTCACCCCCTACTCAGCTATCAAAGTAACTTTCCAAAAGCACAGATGGATCATGTCACCCTACTCAAGAAATTCCAGTGGCTCCCTATCACCTCTAGGATCAAATATGAAATCCTCTGGTATTCAAAGCTCTTCATAACACTGGCCCTTCTTACCTTTCCAGTTTTCTTATACCTTACACTCTTTGATCCAATCACACCGGCCTCGGGCCATTCCTTAAACAAGACACATCATCTCTAGGCTCCAGGCATTGTCTCTGGCTATTCCCTGCCTGGAATGTTTTCTTTATCTCCACCTACTGGTTTCTTTCAAGTCCTAGAAAAAAATTTCCTCTTCTACATGCCTTTCTTGATCCTCTTAATCCTAGTGCTTTCTCTCCTATTCATCCTGTGTAACTTGTTTATACATAGTTGTTTAATTACCTGCTTGTCTTCTCCATTAGACCCTTAGCCCCTTCAGGGCAGGGATTGTCTTTGCTTCTTCTTGTATTCCCAGTGCTTAGCACACTGCCTAACACATAGCTGGTGCTTAATTAATGCTTGACTACTTGTCATATATTACTATACATTACTCTAGAAGTATTACCAGATATTCCCAGAGTACCACAACAAAAGCCCTATTCAAATGCCTCATCACGTTGTGAAGATGACCCTGGGCTCTCAAAGACTATGCCAATAGAATATAAGCTCTGGCAGGTCCTACCAAGACAGAAAGGCTTTGCATTACAGGCTCAGTGAAGAACTGCAAATCTCCTTTCTGAGAACCAGCCAAGCTAAATCTGGAGACGTTCATCTAGATTGTCTGCAGAGCAAAGAAAATTTGAACCACTGCAACGCTGAAGGGCAACCACCTACATTTAGTGGAGCTGCTTGCAGCAGTACGATGGAAGGGCTGCTCATATTGCAGATCCTTGAAGCACTGAAGCTTATGCATTACTACAGTGAATATCAGTGTCAAAAATAGTAAAATGGCCTAAGGGGATAATCTTGGACAGTGAACACCAAAGTCTAAGTCTCACTTTCCAACAATCACCTGTAAAAATAACCAGAAGAAAAATTAAGATATACCACTGGAAGCAAATAACATCCTATTCTGGAAGGGTTATTGTTTCTTACTTGCTTACTTAGAAGAGAACCATCAACTTCACAAAAATGGTATATCATAAACTGACCTTTTCATGCCACTGCAGTAGCACGGCGCTGCTGTTATCTGAGGGGCTTTCAAAGCCCTTATAAATGTACTTCATTAGAAGATCCACACCGTTCTTGTCCAGAGACTGCACTGCTTTTTCAATATCATTAGCTTTAAAAGAGATAAGCACCTTCAGGACGATGCTGCCTGCTCGGTCCTGCAAGAAAATGCATATGTACACATATTGTGATAAGGAGCTGAACTAGATACACACAACTACTCTCAATGCCAGCTAAGAGATGCTGAAAAGACTAACTCTGGATTGGAATTCATGATAACTCCCCAGAGCAGCTGGAAAGGGTCTCAGACAGCCAATCAGACAGGACTGATCAAAAGGTTAAAGTTGGAAAGGGACCTTACTGATAAGTAAATGAAGACCCAGAGAGGTTAAGTCAGCCAGCTAACAAGAACCAGAGTAGGGATCTGAACTCAGGGCCCAATGCGTTGCCCTTTTCCCAGGATCCTTTTATTGGAGAGGATAAGGTGAGCACGTTCCACGTAACATAGCTACAGCCAGGAAGAGGGTTTTAACTCCATGGCATCTCCAAGCCACACAATATGTGTGTGTGTGTGTGTGTGTGTTTGTGTGTGTGTGTGTGTGTGTGTACATGCACACACTCGTGTGCTAGGTATTCCTATAGCATTAAGAGACAACTCATCGCTGGGTTCTCAAGGACCAACATGAGAAAGAGGTCAATGAAGGAATTCTGGATTATGCTAGTTTAGCTCAAGATAGCACTGGGATGGTATATGAAATACGGGTTCTCGATCCCAGAATTAAAGCTTCCTGATGTACAGGACAAGAATTCCTTTCTCTATCTCCTAGTTCTCCAGATTGCCCATCCTGCCAAAGCCAAAGGTATGGCATTCTGAATTGTATCTTTGGTTTCCCTGGCTTTTCTGTGGCTATAAGAAAAGGGTAGCCTTAAATCATCACTTGAGATTATGTCTAGAATTTTACTGATTGTTGAAACATGAGATAAAGACCACTTATTCTCTAGTTTGCATCCAGTATCAGTAAATTCTGATCCTATATATATATCTATCTATCTATCTATATATATCTATATCTATCATATTGCTTAGTTTTTAAATTGTTTACCCATTATGACCCCCAACTACAACTTTATCATGATAAATCTGCAAAGTACACAGAAAAGTAGGTACAATAACTACAAAGGTATTACTTATACAATAAAAAAGTGTATGTCATACAACTTGTTAGAAGTGAAGGTGAATTCTATAATCCTGATGTGACTAAGATGGTAGACTGTTGAAACTGCCATAACTGAACATCTAAAACCTAGAATATAGATTGACTAGGAAGCTGAAGGCAAGATCATTATTACTATATCATCGTTCTAAATAAACCTGGAAGTCTAGAGAAAAGGGGAACAAGGAAGTTAAAAAAAAAAGTTGAGCCCTGAAGCAGCTTCTACTGAGAATAAAAACTTAGCAATGCATGGTCACCATACCTTAGTCTCTATAATTTAGATATTTTTTACATTACAAACGGCTGCAACTTTTAAAGCCTAAAAGTTTGACATTTTTCCATCTGGATGTGTTAAACCAGAGATTTAAAAATCGAAGGAACTTCAGAGGCCATCTAGTCCAAGAAACCGAGGGCAAAGTGGGCTAAGTGACTTCCTAAATGCTACCCAAATACCAGGTGTCAGAAGCAAGATTGGAATCAATGTAGCATTCTTGACTTGAATTTTAATCTTGCAAAGCTTGCCTTGGAGGGTTAGGTAGCAAAAGGATCTGGTTAAAAAAACTTGACCAAGTTACAGCAAGATCTAAAACTTTTTTAAAAGATAGCCTTGATTTCACCCCGGATTAATGTTCTCTTTAAAGGGTGTGGTTTTTTCCAGCAGTAGAGATAAGAGTAGTGTGGTAAAACGTATATCTACTCGTTTGTCTTCAATGATTTCTTTTACAAAGGCTGTCCAAAGAGCAAAGCTGTTTCCTCACTTCCATGCATTCCCAGGACCATAGGTTAATAATCAGACCAACCAAAGAAAGCTCAGTCCTTGCAAAATCCTGTCTCCCTTTTGAACTTTTCAATTTGAATATTATAAAATGTCTTCACCACTTATTGTTACCTATAGGCAAGTAATTTAGACACTCTGCAGCTACAGGATTTGGAGATCTATTCAAATGGTGCAATGTAAGAACCTCTCACATGTAAGCTGCAAAAAAGCTACCAAGAAGTTGTCCCCCCCCCCAGTTTAGAAACCAAGAAAATTTGTTTCCGCTACGAAACATCAATCTGTTTAGATTATTTCCACATATAAGATACTATATACTGTGACTGCCATAAAATAGAATCTTAGAATCAACCTGACCTTTTCCAGTATTTATTTAGGGGGTCTTAACAGGCAATGAGAGTGGATTCAATGCTATAACATACAATTTCATTGGTGGCAAAAATACTTGCACTCTACTAGGAAGCAGTGAATGAATAGAATGAGCTTTATTTTTGACAAGCCACCTAAATTCCACCCATCCTTCAAGGCCTAGTTCAAATATCACTTCCAGACTGGACTTTAGGTTGAACTAAAGAGAAATCATCACCACAGCTGACACATATACAGGCATAGGGCCACAGAACTAGAGTTGGAAGAAACCTTGGAGGTTATTGAATCCAAATTCCTTATCTTACAGATGAGGATACTCAGAGAAGTTAAGTGATTTGTGGGATTCAAATTCAGTTCCTGTGTTTACAAGTTCATTCCTTTGTCCACAATACTATACAGTCTCCATATTGTGTCATATCAGATAACTTCTGTAGTTAATATTACTACAGAATTAATAATAATTATAATTAATAATAATATTAACCTCATGGGGAACATATGGGCAAACTAAAGTTCAGAGGCTTGCCCATGGTCCCACAACTAGCAAAGCATCAGAGGCAAGAAATGAACCAGTGCAAGTGCCTCACCCTCTAAGTCGAGCCTTCTTCCCCCTACACCACCCACGTTCTAGCCTAAAATGATCTGTCTCTCTCCTTTGAACTCCAAGAACACTTACTGTCTATATTACTAACTTGCCACTTATCGTATTTGGTTGTTTCAGCTGTGTCCAACTCTTTGTGACCCCATTTGGGGTTTTCTTGGCAAAGATACTGGAGAGGTTTACTTTGTCCCTCTCCAGCTCATTTTACAGATGAAGAAATGAGGCAAACAGGGTTAAGTGACTTGCTCAGGGTCACACAGCTAGTGTCAGAGGCCAGATTTGAACTTGAGAAGTCCTCCTGACTCTAATGTTGGTGCTCTATGCACTATGGCGCCACTCAGGAACCCTTACTTATCATATACTGCTTTGTACTGTTATCTTTGTATGTATACTTTGTTGTTGAGGCAATGGGGGTAAGTGACTTGTCCAGGGCCACACATCCAGAACACCCGTCATCTGAGGCAGGATTTGAACTCAGGTCCTCCTGAGGACTGGTGCTCTGCCCACCATACCACCTAACTGCCTCATATGTATATGCTCTTAAGCAGTTGATAGTTGAAGAAATAAAAGCAGGAACTGTTATACTTTTTTGAATTTCCTATTTACCTCAGCCTCAGTAAATAACATCAATAGGAGCAGAGATCATCTATGTTGTTAACGACTTACCTTAACCGCCTGACTCTTGGTGTTGATTGGAGGGTTTTTCAGAGCTGCCTGTAATGCAGCTGTCATGTTCCCTGTAACAGAAGTTAAGGATAACAAGAAAACCAAGCACTCAAATGCATTAAAGCTATTCATGAAACACTGTCCCTTTTATGTATTCCTTTACTACCTTCATATTATTTGTATTTGTATTATATCTTTGTACCTTATGTATTACCTTTGCTACTATTTTAGATGCTTATTAGAAAATTCAATGTGATAGCTTCTAGGAGGTAAATTTACAATGAAATACTACTTTTTATGCTATAAATACATACAAAGACTTAAAAAAAGGTGTCACTACCATTTGTTCTTACTTCATTCATTCACATTTGTTTCTAAAATCCTTAAAATAAGCTTGATTGGTTTTGATTTTCAAATAACACCAGCATGCAAAAAAATTATCCCAAGATGTAACACAGCAAGTATTACAGAAACCCCAACAGATTACAATAGAATTATTGCAACATAGAATTACTGTATACCCCAAATGGTGTTATCCTAATGGGAAAACCTTAGCCTGTCATCTACCAAAACAGGAAGTTCTAACAAAAAACAATTTTATTGTCTCGTTACCGAAACCTTATATTAAGTTAAACAGGATACTAAAACACTGATAATTTGAACTAATGGCACCTCTGCAATATCCAATAAGGCTATCTCCTTTAAAGAAGCACTAGAAAACCAGGGTAAGAAGAGGCAATAAACTATAAATAATTCCCTATTTTGTTCTTTAATTAAAAGTTTCATTTAACTATTCAATTTAGAAAATGTTTCTTTTCCTCTTTTTCTTGGACTTTTCAAAAAGTTAATCACCAAATTTAGACCATACCAACAAGACTCAAACTCTCCTTCTTGAAAGCACCAAGGACTGAGCAATCGTGAGGAACTGAAAGCCAATCAGACTGTCAGAATGTAGTTATTCCCCTAAAAGGAAAACCACACAGGGTGCATTTGTTTCCTCCATCTCTAGTACCATATCGACTAGTCACATCACTTAAAATCACGTAGAGATATGTTAAGTTGGTCATTAAAAATCATAAGTTTAGGGCACCAGGGGTCCTTAGAAAGAGCTCATCTAGTCTTCAACCCTTTCATTTTACAATTGAAGAAACTGAACTGCAAAGGGAAACTGACTTGCCCAAGATCACATAGCTCAGAGTCGACAGAGCTGGGATCAGAACCTGGGTCTTTCTTTTTACTCCAGTACTTCTTCTACTACATCAGGTTGTCTTTAAATGATAATCTGTTCACAGGAGACAATGTATGCTAAGTTAGAAAGGATGATGCCTGTTATATCCTATTGGGTTAGAGGAATCAATGACTGAATTAAAAAACAAAAACCAAAAAATGAATTTCCCCCTACTATTTTCAAGGAGACCTAGCAGGCTTCCAAGCATATCCTTTCTGTGATTTAGGTACATATGGGGTGGAGGATGATAATTAAGTATTTCACAGAAAGGTAATAGAGCATAACCACAGCTCATATAGGCAGAATGTGACATTTCTATGTAAATGCAGAGAAATTCCAAAGAATAATGATTATAAATATTTAAAAATCTGTTTAGGAATGCCTCAATACGTTAAAGGTACCACCAAGTATATTTACTTTTTGCACACTTCTACCCCAACACTTTAATCTCATATATAACAAAAGCTGATTACAAAAACAGGTCCTTCCTCATCTCATTAAAAAAATTCTAAGAACAATTATTAAAGTGTAAAACATAAACCTCTAGCATGAGATTTTAAAAAAACCGATCTGGTTGCTGCAACACCTACATCTTCCCACAGATTTTATAAAATGTATTTACATCCAGTTATGAATATTCAGATGTGCAGAAGCTGGGAAACGATGGCCTCATTTAAACTAAAAATGGAAGCAATCTGAAAATCACTCAAATGATTTTGCATTACTCAAGACATTCTGTTCCTCTAAGGTTTGATGGGTGGGATTTTACTTTAGATCCTCCCAGACACCATCTTCCTCATTCATGGCTAATTCTTGCCAGGTATAATTCCACCAGATAAGGGGCTCCAGGTTTTCTTGACAAATTTTTTTTTGAGGCAACTCGAGGCTAAGGACTGTACTTCTATTATCTCATCAACGCTGGACAAAAGACGTTATTCTAACAACCTCCACGATTAGAAAGAACTCACCTATTACTTAAGAGATGCTGGATAAAACAAGTCATTCTAACCAGCTTCACGATTAGGAAAAACTCACCTGCCAGAAGGATAAGGAGATACTGGGAAAAGAGACGGGGATAAAGACTCTCTCTATTGCTCCCTCCCCCCGGAAAATGATTTTAAATTCTGAAAGGGAAAAAAGCCTTCTAATGAACTGATCCCCCTCCCCCTGAATGTTAGGAGGCTCCCTGGATGATAGCCCTTCAATATATCGGTCTACACAGGCGACAACACCCACTGACTATTATAACACGCCTTCTTCCCAAGGGCTGCCCACGGAAGCCTCCAAAGGGCTATGGTGTGAAAGGGGAGGGAAAAGGGCGCCCCGGGTTCGTGGGCAGGAGCTCGCTGGAGGCCCCCCATCTCCTCCTCTCCCGAGACGTGGGGCCAGGCAAATGACAGGTCCGGCCCACGCACGCGTGGGGAAGGCTGGAGGGGCAGCTCCCCACCCAGGGAGGCCGTGGGGGAAGGGCGGCCCAGGGCCCCGCGGGTGGGCGGAAGGATATTGTCGCAGGCAGGAGTCCACCTCGCCCTCGTCGGGGCCGGCCTGGCCCTCGCCCCCGTCCTCCTCGTCCACGAACTTGTTCTCGTCATACTCATCCACATCCACCTTTCGGAACCGGGCCGACGACACCGTGTGCTTCGACATCCCCTAGCCGGACCGGGTGGCAATTAGCTCCTGTAGTTGTCGCCGCCGCCGCTGTCCCGTCCCCCGGGTCCCCTGCTGTCCCCGACCCCCCCCAGCTCCAGCTCCAGCTCCGGCTTCTTCTGCTCGTTCTTCGCCTTCACTTCCCTCTTCCGCTCTGGGGCGTCGCCCGCTCCGGCGCCGGCCGCTACTGCGCCTGCGTCCTGGGGAGGGGCGGACTCCAGCTCTTGGTCCCTCCCCTCCCCCACCGAGGCAGCGCGAGCCCGCAGAGGAAGCGCGCCTCTCTTTGTACGCAAGCGCAAACTCCCTTTTCCCCCCCCGCCCTCTCCCCCCACGCAGAAAGGGGGCGGGGCTTGGAGAAAGGGGTGGGCGGAAAAAAAAGAGGAAGGGCAGAAAGCAAAACCGCTGGAGGAGGCAGGGGTAAGAGACGATTGGTCGTCCGGGCGGGTCACGTGATTCCCAGGGGGTTACCATAGAAACAGACTCTGTGGACCGGTCCTTAAACTGGTCTGATATAGGTCCTGGGGGGCCTGGGGGATGGGGAGGCGGGCTGGTGGGGTTGGGGTCGGGCTGTAGCGGTAACCTCGGTCCCGGCGGAGCTGTGGGGGATATGAGCTCGTGCCCATGAGAGGGGAGGGATGGATGGCCCCTGGAACTTGGTCACTGCAGGGGCCAGGGGCAGGCGGGGGCCGATACACACTGGCGTACGTCTTGGAAATGGAGGTTCACCAGTTAGGGTAGGACGCATCCATCCTCCAGAAATCCCAGGGCAGATCCAGGGAGAGGTCCAGGAGGATGGAGCCCAGAGGGCCCATGACTTGACTGTCACTATAGAAAAACACTCCCACATGGCCCTCAAATCCTGACTTGGGAATTGAGAGTGGTGGTGGAAAAGATGCCTAGATGGGAGGAGGGGTCGTGGTGACCTACCTGCGATGAACCTGTTGCAAATGGGGGGGGGTCAGTCAGTTAGCAAGCAGTTATTAAGTGTCTACTGTGTGCCAGGCTAAAACCTGGAGGGCTAATAGGGGAGACAAAATGCAACCAACCAGCTATGCACAAACAAGATAAATACAAGATAAACAGAGGCATAATCTCAGAGGGAAGGCGCTACATTGTAGACGACAAAGAAAGGTTTTTTGTTGAAGGTCGGACTTAAAATGATACTTGAAGGAAGTGAGGGAAACTGGGAGGCAGAGATGAGAAGGAAGAATGTGCCTGGCATGGGAGACAGCTTGTTAAAAGGCTCAAAGTCTGGAGAAGGAATGTCTACTGTGAGGAACAGTAAGGAAGCTAATGTCATTGTAAGGAAGAGTAAATGAGGATGTGGAAGGTTTAAGAAGACTGGAAAGGTGGTGGGGTGGGCAGGTTATGAAGGGCTTTGAACACCAAAGAGAGGATTTTACATTTGAGCCTGGAAATAATGAGTCACTGGAATTTATTGAATGGAAGTAGTGGTGATATGATTAGGCCTGAACTTGAGAAAGATACAGACAATTGAGTGGAAGATGGACAAGAATAGGGATAGGCTTGAGACAGGGAGACCAATAAGTAGCCTATTGCAGTAGTCCAGATATGAGGTGATGAAGGTCTAAACTAGGGTAGTAGCAGTGTCAGAGGAGAGAAAGGGACATATATAAGAAATGCTATAAAGGGATGAGGGGTGGTCAGCCTAGACTCAGTCTTATGATTCTGAGGATCTGGGGCAAGAGTATTCATGAAGGGAAGAGGTGAACAGACTTATTGGTTCTGAATCATAATTAAAATTTGTAAGAGTCGGTGAGCATGGAGCTTTTCAGTTTGTTTTACAGGCCAGTCTTGGTTTACATCCTATTTAATGATCAAATTTGGCTAGATTTTTTATCCCATTACATATCCACATTTCTTGTCTAATGGTAGAGTCTTTATTGTATCAGTAATAGGCAGGAAGGGAATGACCACAGTATTACAGTAAAGGTACAAACTGATTTAAATTTTAAAATTTCCAAATAGACTAATAAAATGCTTAGCTCAAGTGGCCTTTGACTACTCTTAGGATTTTCTGCCCTTCTTTTAGTATTCAGCCTAACTCTTTCATAAGGTTTCCCACAGTTGCTTCAATCTAGTCCTTTCTGCAAGTTTCTATAGCGCTTAATATCACTTATTTTGATCCTTAATCATACATGGCTTTGCTCTGTATAAATCTTAAATCTTTAACTGGATTTTAAGTTTCCAGAGTTCAGAGACAATGCCATATTTCCTTTGTATTCATCTTAGAATCTTTGCTGTAGGAATATGATATATGTGTAATAGATGTTCAATAAATACTTGTTTAATGGCAGGGAGGGTTTCTTTAATTGAAAGTGCCAAATGGTTATGTTGGGGAAGCAAGGAAAGCATGTGAGCATGATCTCAAATCCAGTGCTTTCATAGTATAGTTAGAGAAGAAAAGAACTGAGGAGTGTACCTTCATTTACTTTGGGGAAAAGGCATCCAGACTTCTTTTTCCTTGCCACTATTAAAGCCTGAAGTCCTACTCTGTTGACTCTTCATGACTTCGAGGAGACTCTGTGTTCTTAAAGACAGTGCCAATGGAATTCAAGTTTTTGCAGGGCCATTAAGGCTGGAAAATTGCATGTGAGCATATTATGGTTTATAAGTTTGTCATCCAAGGTCAAGCCTAAATAGGTTTGGAGAGGCTCATCATTCAGTTGGCCACGGAATGATGAATGTTTTGGCCATAGTGAGCTCTAAATGAGTATCTACAATGTCCAAGACATAAAAGATTTTGTAGTTTATATTGGTAGAGGGAATATTCACATACCAGTGAAATTGAAGCTTTGAAGTATAAGCATTAATGCCAATTGTAGAACTCCAACATTCTCATTTGGAAGCTACAATCACTGTATATCAGCAAATACCCTACTATAAACTCTCATAGTTTTGGTCTTAGAGAGTAGCTTCAAGTTTAGAAGATATAATCACTGTTTATTTATCAGCAAATTCTCTACTAGAAGCTCTTTGGTCTTCAAGTAGCTTGAAATTTGGGGTAAAAAAGGTTAATTTTTTGGGATCTGAACTTATTGATGTGGGGAACTTCTGGTGTGAAAATACTTTTTTTCAATACAGATCAGCCACTCTTCTGTAACTTATAGTCTTATTGAAATTGCCTGGGGAATATGAGAGGTTAAGTGCTGTTGTCATGGGATTTTGTATGTGTCGGAGACAGAACTTGAACCAAGGTTTTCCTGCTTCCAAGGCTTGTCTTCTATCCATCTACTCTTTTATGCAACTTCTACTTTTCTTACCTGCCTATAATTGTTTGCATTAGAACATCACATGTCAAAGTACTTGCTATTACCATGGTGTTGAATATCACATGAAATATCTTGATTAACTTAGTTATTCAAAATTTCCATCTCATTTTAACTTGCTAACTTTAATAAACTAAATAGAAACTCGTCACTTAGCGACCAATAATTACTCTTTTTTTATTCTTTAAATAGAGATTTTCTTGAAGAACTTTGAAAATTGAAAGCATTGTTAGGACAAAAGGAAATAAGGATTGAATGCTAGTATGTTTAAATCTTTACCTTTAATTGTTTTCAAGAAAAGCAGTACCAATTACATTGCAAAAATAATTTTTTGTTTTAAAAATTTATGTAATTTTTTATTCCACAAATGAGAAAATATCTTTGTTATTATAATCAATTAAGGAAATCATGGTAGAAAATAACATTAACCAGATATTAAAAATTATGTGTACCACTTTTTAATCTCATAGTTTTTTTCTACATATCAATGTATAATACTACATTTTATGTATTTGACATCTCAAAGTTTATCAAATTTCAACTACATGTCAGTATATCAATACATGTGGTAAAACATCTATATATGTATAGTAATAAAATTGTGAGATTAAGGATTGATACTAAGTTAAATATATAAAATTGTAACAGGAGTGTATATAATGGAAATATAAATAAATTTTTGGTAACGTGGATCCAGAATTAGGTAGAAGGAGGAGAAAGGATTGGGTGTATTTGAAAAATTGAGCACTGTTTTTAATGGCTCCAAGTTTAAATCATACAAAAGACAACACCAGTATTCTTCCAGTGATGCTATAAGGTTTTGATTCATGGAATACCAGTCTCCAAAGAATTGAATAGGTTATTCAAAGAAATGCATGGTGGCTGTAGACAGGTTGTGGCATATGTCCAGTGGAGAATTGCATAAGGTATGAAGGATATTATCAAAAATATGTATAATCAGAAAAATAGGCAGGCTAGTCATGTAGGGAGAATGAGGGATAACCAATGGACAGAATATGTGCTCCATTGATATCACTGGTACAATGTCAAGAGCTCACCTAGAGTTAGACCTCCAGCATGTTGTATGGGCTCCTTGGGGAAGACATGGACAAGAGCAGCACAAATTGAAAAACTGTGAATGATTTGTATGTATTCTGAACTGTTAGAGGGAGCACTCACATGTGTGAGATTACAGATTCATTCAAGTATTAAAGAATCCTTTACTAGAGTCCTACTCTGGTGCTTCATTGTGTTACCAAGATGACACTGGACTCTTTTTTTCTTTTAATATTTTATTTTCTCCAATTACATAGAAAAGCAATTTTAAACCTTCATTTTTTACAATTTTGAGTTCCAAATTCCCTCCCATAGTCCCTCTCCTATCCTTCTCATTGAGAGGGCAAGTAATTTACATGTATAGAAGATAACACTGGATTCTTGAAGTTTATACCAGTGTAGCATAATATTTCTCAAGTCATACACAGATGGTAAGGCTTTCAGTATGGCCTGATTTCATGTCTGTTGTCTGAGGATTGGCTTAGCTCATCTTACTTAGGTAACTTAGCTAAGTGCAGAGAAGTTTATCATCAAATTGGCCTTACGGTAATGGATTTTTGTGTCATTTAAACCTTTGAAGACCATATCCTAAGTTGAAGAGGGGTTGTGATCTACATTGGTGCAGGGAAAATCTATACTGATGAAATTTCAGATTTTGAAAATGTAGGAAGTATACTAGATATATTAAATGTCACTAATCTGCATCCCTAATGAGGCATTACCATTCAGGATTTAAGAGGCTTTTTGGAAAGCATTTTGTATTGACTGGCAGTAATTTGTCAAATCAAGTTAACAAACATTTAATAAGCACTTATGTGCCAGGGACTGTGTTAAGGCTGTCATTTGGTTAATCTTAGAATCAGATTTAAAGAATTACTCATTTTAAAATGTCTTTCTTTCTTTCTTTCTTTCTTTCTTTCTTTCTTTCTTTCTTTCTTTCTTTCTTTCTTTCTTTCTTTCTTTCTCTCTCTCTCTTCTTTCCTTCCTTCCTTCCTTCCTTTCCTCCCTTCCCTCCCTTCCTCCTTCTCTCCCTGCCTTGTGTTCTAAAATTTGTAATATTTTTATTCCTTTTGAATTGACAACTCATCATTTTGATCACATGTTATATTCTTTCACAAAGCTCTGCAAAATTTAGAAGTATTTCTGTAATCAATTTCAGCTTTATATTTGTGATTTAGCCATTATAATAATACTAAATTTACATAGTGCTGTGGTAGACATAGTAAACTATCCAGCTATTCCATTCTCCACAAATCTAATTCCTCTACAAGTTTTTTTTGTTTTTTTTTTTAAAGTACAAAATCATTCTCTATATATCTATGGTTGGGAAGGGTCATACGGAATGAAAAATAAAGTTTTATTTTTTCAGATTGAATTGAACTGACTAATTGAATTTGAAGATTAATAGAGCATGTAATGTATTATATGTGATATATTTACAGCATAAGTTTACCTTTTCTCAAAGCTAACTATGACAAGGTTGAGATTTGATATTGTATTTGCCTTAAAGGAAGTTACCATTAGTAGAGATAGCTATCATAGATAATATTACAAAGTATCTATGGGGTCTGAGGGAAAAGGCTATTACCAAATTTCAGGGGTAGGCAATCAAGAAAGGTATCTGTGTAGGATGTGGTATAGCAGTTAGGCTTTAAAGAATGGGTAGAAATTTAATGGGCAAAGCAAGGATGGGGAAGAAGTCATTCCAGGCATAGGGAACTGTATGAATAAAAGAGAACAGAATGGATATTAGGGTAGGGTGGTTAGAAAGGCAGGGAGCAAGCAGTTTAATTTGTCTGGGACATGTGGATGGGAGTGCATGAAGGAGAATTACACAAGACTGAAAGGGGAGAGGGGAGCATCATCTTGTGAAGGGTCTTGAGTGTAAGCAGAGTTTGAACTTTATTCCTTAGGTAATAGGATCTTTTGATAAAACTGTAGTCCAAAGTTTTTATGAAATTTAAAAGAACATGCCATTCTTCTCTTTCTCTTTCCTCACCTTTTTTATATGCCTACCCTGATAATTTTTTTGCTTTCACTTTCCAAAAAAATTTTTTTTCATCATATGCTGTAACGCTCAAATTAGTAATACACATTAACATTCACTCCAAGGCTCAGGATCTGAACAAGCCAGAGAAATGAAATATAGTGAACTTAAAGAAAATCTAATAAGTTATCTTTTACTAAATAGGCTTTCATAGGGTATTTGATGGTCAGAAATTCTTACTAGAGTTTTGTTTTTTGTTTTTACCTCATCATAGCCAGAGTGTGTTGATATTATGTACTGTGGATGAATAATTCCTTAGTCTCTACTCCCAAAGAAGCCATTTCATTTTGATTGCCCTTTGGGGTGGTCTACTCAGACTATCCAGTCTGACCACAGAACCCAATAGATTATGCAGTCTTTCCACTAAATTTTAATACAATTAAGATAATAGAAAGATACTGACTTGCCCAGGATGAGTGACCCTATGTGAGATTTATTGTCACATTGTTACCCTTCCATCCCTAATCTAATATACATCAGAGAAACAAAGACTTAGTGGATGGAAAGTGGGATATAGCACACACCAGCTGAGATATCTCTTTAGATGTCAGTCAGGTTCATTATGGGGCCAATGAGAGGGACCAAAACCTACCTAGGGCAGGGAATTATTCCAATTCTAAAGCTGGCTCCAGTGTTCCAGAGGCTTTCCAGGATTGTGAGTAGGGCAGTCCTACAGGAGTCACAGGGCAAACCAAATTGCTCAATGATTTTTAAGTTGATTGTGAATATTTGGATATTTGTGGCTGATAGGGGTGCTTAATTGAGACAGTACCATAATATCCACATACACCTTTCTTCTTCTCATGTGCATGGATTCTGTATCCCCATTGCCATGCTACTAGAGAATAAAACTTTCCAGTAATTCTGTACTTCTTTCTGAATCCATGAACTACTCATTGACATTTATTGAATTCATATTATGTGCTGAGAACTATGGGAAGGTTCTGTTTTTTGGGGTTTTTTTAATGGATCTTAGCCCTCTACTTCTGTTTGGGAATAAACGTACTTGAAAAGACTTACTGTTATTTAGATGACAGGATACAAGTGAGTTATAAATCATTATGGCATAAAAAGAATAAGTAAGTATACATGTGAACAGGTTAATCAGGAAAAGGAATGTTGAGCCAATTTTGGAAGAACTAAGGGATATAGATTGGTGGGGAGGGGTAGGTAGTAATAGCCTTCCTTATAGGAAAGATGGCAAGTCCAAGTCAGATGTCGGGCATGGCAAGACAATGGTTGGCTAGAATGGTTGTATGGTAGGAGTAATAAATAATGAGTTTAGTAAGATACAGGTGCCATCAAATATGGAGATCACACTGTGCTTGATTCTAAAGGAATTTTTTAAAAAATGCATAACACACAGCCCATATCCTCCAGAAACTTATAACCAAATTGGAAAGGTAAGACAGACATACATGAAACAGGCAAGTGGAAAGGAACCTTGAAAGCCTTCTAGAGATATATAGATTTTATATTTTAGGTAATAGTTACTATATTGCTCAAGGTTGAATGCCCCACTCACCCAAATATCTAACCACTAACTAAATTTCATTTAGGAAGGAACCTAGGTAAGAGTCATCATGAGTGGGTGATTGAGCTTAAAAATGTATTTTCAAAGATGTGTTAAATCAGGTAGTAGAATGGCTTCTCCCTGCACATAATTATTTTGAATCACTTTAGAGAAAGTGGGCTGCTTAAAATCTATCTGCTGACAATAAATGATTAATGGAAAATCACTGGTTTGCTACTGCAAACAGCACTTAATGTCAGTTACTTCAGGCAGTTTTCCAACTTCACAATAAATCTTTATACTGAAACTAATTTAAGGACTCAGTTTAGTCCACTTAGGTTTTTTTTTTTTGTTTGTTTTTAAATGCTCAATGATGATGTGAGCCAACTGGAAAAACATTCCTTTTCCACATAATACTGTTGGAGAATGACTTAGAGTTCCACTTTGATGCTACCACTTGAAAAAGGGTCAAGTTGTTTATTGGAAAAACTTCAAGTGTTGCTAAAAGAGGTGAGGCTGCTAGCTGTTGACACAATGAAAAATGTAATGGAATTGCATTTTAGTGTGATTGCTTTCTAGGTAGTCCAGATTCAGCTGATACAGGGATGAAAGTTATCAAACACACATCAACAATCTCATAAGCCATTTAATGTCTGGTAGCATTATCTTTTTTAAAATGTGGGTTTACTTTTTTCTTTTTCTTATCACTTACTTTGCCACTTGAAAATTGTTCTGTGATTTCCACAGTCTCTACTAGTCTTCCAGCAGAGGGTCTTCTGGGGTCTTTGGTTTCCTGTAATAGCCTTTGAGGCATGTTTAAGTGCCTTACAACGTTCTTCGGTTTGGGCTGGTTTTGACTTACACTGGGTGGTTGCTGATCCCTGAAAGGCACTAACATAAAAATGACAGGCAGCCTCTGTTCTGGGGTCATCCTCACTTGAGAGGACTCCTGAGGAGACACATTGCTTAAAGGGCATCTCTGTAAGTCCACTTGAGCTTTTGTATTTGGGTTCATTGTTGTCTGGGGAAGTACATCAGTGAAGTATGGTTTCACTCCTGTGATTGCCTTGATCTCATAAGCATTATGCCTGTCAGCCAGTGCTCTTGCCGGCCAAAGTGGTTGGTAAAGAACTGCCCCTGAGATACCACTCACAAAGTGATGGAGAAGGTAAGGCCAAATTCCACCACTTATTGGGTTCAGAGTGACCCGAGGCCATAAACTAGCCAGGCTTCGTAAAGCTTCACGGTTCCATGCTGAAACAGGGAATTCAGTCTCTGTATGATAAAGTTGAGAGAAATAAACATTGAGGCTGATGCCTGGATACCTCAGCAGGAAGTTGTACATTTTGCTAATGCAGCAGTGGTTGGCTTCATTACAAGGACAGTAGTTAGAATAAAGCAGGATATACTCAATGTTGTCATTGTTACGTATGAATGCCTCAAGATAACTGCCCATCTCAAATAACATAGATTCTGGGTGGGTATCATACTCGCTGCAACCTGAAGCCTGCCCCTTTTGCACCAGGCTTCCAGAAGAAGTTTTCAGTTCATAAAATGTGAGATGTTTGGTTTGAGGACTTGGCCCACAAGGGAATCCAAAGATCTGATAAAATTCAGTGTGGGTAACTCTTGCTTCTTCACCTGTCCGGATATGATAAGGGCACTTAGAACATTCTAGAGTCAAGGCCAACCAATAATAAGGTTTTACTACAGTTCCATGATTTGTTAGGTATTCCTGGTATAGTGGCTCCATTTCTACATTTGTATTTTATTAATAACCACCACTGACAACGAGGACATATTGTTTACAAACAGTTTATGAAAACTATAGTTACTAAATTACACCCTCATCAGAGGAGGTAATACTGTAGCAGACAAACCTCTGGTTCTGAAGGAGAATAACCATGTCCATGTATTAGAAAAACTCTGCATTTGCTTTTGCATATTCAGATTCCTAGAAGGGGAAAAAGGAAAGGTTTTACTTCATAGATATCCTTATGACACTCCAAATGACCCTTCCAGCCCCTTTTGTCTGTGAAAGTCCCAAGAAATAAGTATATGTTTGGATTTCAGTTTGTAATAACCTAGTTCTATCTAAAGCCTGTGAGTCAAAGTATACTGTTTAGAGTTTTGTATATTTGTATCCCGTGGCAAACATAATAATGACTGGCACATGATAAGTGCTTAATAAAGCTCCTTGAAGGAAGGGACTGTTTAATTTTTTTGTGTTTATATTCCCAGCACCTAGCATAGTACCTGGAACATTGTAGGTACTTAATAAATGCTTATTGATTGATTGATTAACTACATCCAGGAAATTGGTAGCTTATCTCCATTGTCGCTTGAAAATCATTCTGTGATTTCCAGTGTCTCCACTACTCTTCCAGCAGCAGATTTCTGGGGTCTTCGGTTTCCTGTAATAACAGCTGAAGCATGTTTAGGAGCCTCACAATGTCCTTTGGTTTGGTCTGGCTTTGATTTGCCATTGAGTAGTCAAACACTCAAGTGGGATGGGTGCTCAGAGGAGGGGCTAGACTAGCCTTTAGTAGTTTTAAATAGATGTTCTTTTATCCACCTGTATAAGTTACATTAAGTTTAGTAAAATTGTTTGCTTACCTTGAAATAATTGGAGAACTGAGTTTGTTCTTCACAATCTGTATACAATCCTGTAATAGCTAAAAACAAACAATAGCTGTAATTACCATCATGTCACCTCTAGGTTTAGATCACATTCCAGGTAAGGGGTCATGTCATATTTTATCTTTACTTCATTTCTCCAGCAACTTGGGGGTAGCTGCTCAGTCTATTAATACTGTAAAAATGTTTCTCCTTATCAACTTACTGTCTTATGTTTCACATCTCATATTAGTTGGAGATTTGTTCTTACAAGTTATAAATACCTTTTTCTGTTGGATTAGTCAGTCAGTGCTGTGGTAATGTTTGCAAAGTAACTAATGCTAGGATACAGGAAGTTCCAGAGCCTTCCCAATTTATTTGAATTTCAAACCATCTATTTAATGCGTAAATATATGTTTACAGGATGTTCAAAAAGTCTTAGTGCAGTTGTAAGTGCTACATACACACACAAGCTCATTATGTCTGGATATCTGGCAAAATGTTTGCAAGGTGCCCATGGAGTGAACCCAAAGATTCAGTCCTGCAAGGGAATACCTATTTAACACTGCCAGCTAATATTCTGAGCATAGTTCCATGCTACCCTTTATTTAACTGTACAAAGTGTTGGGTCAGATATACAAGTGAATAAGACATGCATCTTGTCTTCATGAAACTTAAAACAATCTAGCCGGGAATATGACATGTTTGCAAACAACTAAATGATGATTGTGGGAGCTAAGTACAAAGTGTAGTATGAGGTCCAAGAAAATGAAACGTTATTTCTGCTCTGGGATTGTCACCACAAGAGTCCCTGGGGAAAACTCTCAGACAGTTCCAGGGAAGGGAATCTGTAACTCTGTTGCTAGTTACCTGAGTTTGTCAAAATGTAGGCACCCTAGACTGCTCACTGTTTCCTAAGCTTGGTAGTCTGTCTTCCATCCTCCAGTATTTATTCAAGTCATCCCCCATCCCTTATATGCATGCTTTCTTCAATCCTACCTTGTCTTCCTCAGGTTCTACCTCTTCTGTGAAGTCTTCATGGGTTATTTCCAGTTGTTATTACCTTCTTTAAATTACTTTCTTTTATATTTATCTATGGATATATTCTATCTTCCCCCCACCTCTAGTAGAAAGTAAGTTCCTTATTAAGGCCAGGAATAATTTCATTTATCTTTTTTCCGGTGCCTACCATGGTGATTTATGCATAGACACTGGCTAAGCCCCACCTGTGCCTAGCAACAGCAAACAACAGGATAAGATAACCAGTACTGGGTGGTGGCGGTGGTGGGGGTGGTGGCGGTGGAGGGGGTAGAATTCCTGTTCTTTTGTTGCTTTTTAAGGTGTATGCTCTGAGGGATGCAGTACTTCATTTTAAAAGAGAGTCATTTGAGAAACATTCTGTGATCATTAACATTTCAAAGGTGAGCTTGTCTCATCTCACTGCCTCATCTCAAATTGGTTTAAGGATTTGATAGGAAGATCAGTGTTTCTGGTGGAGGTAATAATTTGAACTCAGTCTTGAAGGCTAAGTAAGATTTCAGCCTGTGGAAATGGGGGTGGGAGGGTGGTAGAACATTCTGACTTTAGTATGTATGGAAGACTTGTATGGGTGCTATAAGCAGTAGGATGGATTCCAGAAACAAAACAGGTGAGCATAGGTTTTTTGTTGTAGTTGTTGTTTACTTTTAAAATTTGTGACCTTCCTGATGGGTAGCCCCAAACAGCCATTCTGTATGAGAATTTGATGTCTCTGTTAGAGGGAGACAGAATCAAAAGGACAGAAGAAAACAAAAAAAGAAACAAAGAAGCATAAGACGGGAGCTTCCTAATATGGACGTGCTGTTGTAGGTCAGAAGCCTTAGAGAATCTGACAGCTTGTCAGGCTACATTTCTTGTGTCATCTTGTGATAATTGTGGGCTGTAACTCCATCAGGTTCATTTTGTTTTGTACCTGAAATGATATTTCATTCAAGGAAATGAATTAGCAAAAGCTGAGGCAGCTAGGTGGCCAGCACATAGAGCACAGGGACTGGAGTCAGGAAGACTCAGCTTCAAACCTAGCCTCAGATGTTGGTGTGACCCTGGGCAAGTCACTTAACCTTTGTCTGATTCAGTTTCCTTGTTTGTAAAATAGGGCTAATAATAAACTTCCCAGGGTTGTTGTGAGGAACAGATGAGTTAATAATTGTAAAGTGCTTAGCACAGTGCCTGGAACATAGTATTATATAAATGTTAGCTGTTATTATTAACTATTTTTAAATTTTCCTAAAATGAACTAGCTGTTTAAGACCTTTCCTTGCTTTTATTCTCAAAAAATTTACTAATAACTTGTCTTCTGTCACACATTGTAAATTATTAGCAAGATGATTTGTGTCTTGCTGTATATAACATATTATATACTTTTCTCTATGAGTAACAATAAATAAAATACTTTGTATTTTGTACTAAATCTGCTTACTTTAGGCTGAACACTCTATGGCTGGTTGCATATCCTCAAATCTCTGTTGGTATTGTTTGAATTATCACTTTGTACTGGTGGGCAGTAATACCCCATTTTAGGATTAGAGGCTAACAGGATTTCCCTAGACAATAGGGAAGAAGTCAATAAATAGAAGAGACCTGAGGCATCAGCTGAAAATCAGCTCCACACCCACGTATAGTTAGCAGCTCCCCAGGTATTTATTAAGCACCTGTTCTATGCCAGGCACTGTGGTAAGTGCTAGGAATACGAAAAGAAAAAAAAAAAGGCAAAAACATGCTTCTTGCCCTTGAGGAGATCACATTCTAGTTGGGGAAATTGAAAACAAGTAACTATGTACATACAAGATACATTCAGTGTTAATGAAAAGGAAAGGGGAGACAAGCAGGGAAGGACTCCTGAAGCCAGTACGACTTGAGCTGTCTTGCAGGAAGTGGGTAGGGGAAGAAGCTAGGCATTCAGGGTGAGGAGGGATAACACTCCAGAAATGGGGGACAGCTGGTGCAAATATATGGCACCAGGAGAGAAAGTATCCTGTTTGAGGACTAGCAAGTGGGCCTATGAAGCTGGATCATCGAATATGTGAGAGAAGTAAAGTAGAAGAATGTGGGAATGGGGGAAAGGACCAGGTTGTGAAAACCTTTAAAAGACAAACAGCACTTTGTATTTAATCTTGGAGGTAACTGAGAGCTACTGAAGTTTATTGAATAGGGGAGTAATGTGGTCAGACTTATGTTTCAGACTTTAGCAGTGGAACAGAGGATTGGATTGGAGGAGAGACTTAAAGCAGGGAGACCAGTTAGGAGTTGATTATAATAGTCCATGTGAAAGGTGATGAGGGCCTGCATCAGGGTGATGACAGACTTAGAGGAGAGCTGGGATTTAGATGAAAGATGTTTTAAGGGTAGAAACTACAAGATTCATAAAACATTGGAGTGAATGTGAGTGAGGATTTGAGGATGACACCTAGGTTGTGAGCTGTGGTGACTGGGAAGATGTTGGTACCCTTGACAGGAAAGTTGGGAAGAGTTTTGGGAGAAAGATAAGAAATTATGTTTTAAACACATTGAATTTGAGGTGCCTGCACATCCAATTTGATATGTCCAAAGGTAAAGTTAGAATTCATCAGCAGTTTAGGGTTGGATATATGGATCTGGGAATCATCTGTAGTGAGATAATAGTTGAACACATGATAAATGATGAACTCACCAATCCAGACAGAATAGAGGGAGAAGAGAAAAGGACTCAGGGCAGAGTTTTGGGGGAATAGCCACAGATAGTAGGCATGATATGGATGAAAAATCAGCAAAGTGGCCTAAAGTGTGGTCAGACAGGTAGGAAGAGAACCCCAGGAGTGATCAGTGTCAAGAAAAGTAAGTGGAAAGAGAATCCAGGACAAGTGGGTGGTCAACTTTGTCAGAGGTTTCAGAGAAGTAAAAAAGAATGATTGAGAAGAGGTCATTAAATTTAGCAATTAATGATTGGTGACTTTGGAGAGACCAGTTTCAGTTGAATGAAGAGGTTGGAAGCCAGGATGCATAGAGTTTAGAATCGAGTAAAGGGATAGGAAGTAGAGGCATCTAATTTTTTTTCAAAGAGGTTAGTTGAGGAGAACAAATTACAACAGCTAGTGAGAATGGCAGCATCAAGTGAGTTTGTTTGTTTGTTTTTTAGGCTGAGGGAGAAACAGTTGTTTCTAGGCAATAGGGAGGAAGCTGATAAGGAGACATTGGAGATTAGGGAAGAGAAAGAGAGATTAGGAAGGAGAGAGAGGAGATGATAGTGGGTTCAATTTGATGGAGAAGATAAAAGAAGATGGGATCAAGGGTGCATATAGAAGGGTTTGCCTTGGTAAGGAAGGGCCTATGTCTTCGTTTGAAACAGGAGTAAAAGAGGAAATAGTGGGTTAAAGCCTCTGAGTGATCTGAGAAGAAGAAAGGGGAAGAAGCTATAGCTCAATGAATGACCTAATTTTTCCAATGAAGTATGAAGCAAGGTCCTTAGCTGAGATGATGAGAGGAGGGGTACCATAGGAGGCTTAAGGGGGATGAAAACGTTTGGAATAGGTGATGTGATGATTGGGATAGATAATTAATTAGAGAAATGCAAAAGGTTTGACTTGTATACCAGTAGATTGAGAAATTGAGAAGTTAGGGTAACTGAGGGAGCAGGAGATATGGTGGAGAGAAAAATTTTGAGTCAGGCACTGAAGAAAGTGGGAGAATGTCTTGGGCAGGGATGGGGTGGAGTGTATGTCCCAGGATCTGTTCCAATAGGCTGTAGACTGGGTGATAGGTTTGGGTGGCGTGAACCTCAAAGGAGGCAAGATTGACAAGTAGGGAGAGTCAGGAAGTGGCAATGGACCACCATGACCAATGGTGAAAGTGTAGTCAGTACTGGAAAGGGTAGCCAAGAATGCAATGTCATTAGGAGGAATGCCAGAAGATGTGAGCAGTGGGAAAGGAAAAAGTCTAAGATGAAAGCAGGTATATTAATTATGGAGCAGGCATTGCAGAGTGCAGTGGAAGGGTCAGGCACATATGAAATGGGACAGGGAGGGTTGGGAGGATTGAGAGGGATAGGAATGACCGAGCAAGCAGTTGAAGATGAATAGGATTTGTTCATTAGGGCATTGGGGATGGCAGTTCAGGATCACTGGAATGGGGAGAATATGAGGGAGTGGGAGTATGCTAACCATTGAAAAACAAGTCCAGGCAGAGTATTACTGGCTGGAAAGAATATATTGAGAGGGACAAATACTTAGGCTTTCAAGGTCCTCCCTTGAGGTCTAATGAAACCTGCCTCACGATAGGCAAGAGATATGGAGGTGTGGGGTAGAGTGAAGTGTCACTGCCAGACTGAAGAAGTTGAGGGGTATCTGGTCGGAGAGGTGACATCTGGAGTGGTGGAAAAGACCCTGGGACCAGGACAAAGGATTGAGGCTCATGCAGGGAACTAAGGAAGACATTTAGGTAAAGAACACTGGAAAAAAGATGGTGGCCTGAAGATGGGTGCATCCTGGGACAAAGATTGTTGGGATGAGAGTAGCTGGATCAAGGGCTAGTTTAGGTCACTGGAGAAGGCCCTGGGGCAAAGATTGAGGCCTGGCATTCTTAGGAAACTGAGGAGGGGTTAAAAGGAAATGGAAGGAGAAAACCAAGCAGGAAATCTAGAAAGACAATACAATAGAATTAAATCATAGATCAAGAAAAGGCAAGGATAGACGAGTCTTTCATAATTTACTACTCATGAATAGAATGACCACAGGGTGGCAGCATAACATCAAAGGCAAGAATCCCAAATGATCAAAATCATTCTTGTAAAGGTCTTGGATTTAACATTTGAATTACATCACAAACGTCTCACTTGTCTGGCTCTTTGAACTCTCACACGCTTATTTTTGCAGCCATACCAGGTCAGAAATAATAAATGTTAAATCCCCAGGGTGAATTTTAAATCTCAAGCCAAAGAAGATAAGAGCCAAAATACTATATGACATGCCAGACATTATGTGGACGCACGTGGGCACAGGAAAAGATGCCATGAAGACATTCCTGTACCATTGGCCAAGTAGGAGAGTGATACTGACAAGAATCTTTTTATAGACTCAGTGACTTTGATAGGATCTCAACTCATGCTCATTGAATTCTAGTCAATTTCTGTAACTCCTTAGTTTATGATAATGAAAGTGTTAAGAAAGCAGATAAATAATTTATGTAAAGGTGTACCT